CTTGAACTCAGGACCTGGGCCTTGTCCCTGAGCAAAAACGCTCAAGGCTAGTGCTCTACTACTTGAGCCACAGCTCAATTTTTGGTGGTTAAAGTCTCATGGACTTAGCTGCCCAGGCTGACTGTATCCTCAGATATCAGCCTCCTGAGTAGCTAGTACAGGCATGAGACACTGGTGTCAACCTAGGGAGGTTCCAGTCGTGGGGCCTGAACTCTGGGCCTGGGCACAGTCCCTCAGCTCTTCAGTTCAAGGCTAGCTCTCTACCACTTGAGCTACAGCGCTACTTGCGGCTTTTTTCTTTTTGCTTATATGGTGCTGAGGAATCGAACCCAAGGTCTCATGCATGCAAGGCAAGCACTTTACCACTGAGCCACCTTCCCAGCCCCACCTACAGTCTTTTATATGAGGGGAAATACCCTAAAGGTAATGGATACTCACTTTTCCAGTGGAAATTTAGTCCTTAAAGTTTCTTTTTAATTTATTAAATCCCAGTGTATAAATCATGTTATCTATCAGAGGCAAAATGTCTGAAATTAGAAAGGGAAGGTAGTTTAAATCTCATCTGACAAGAATTGTAGAACTTAAAAGTGGAACTTGGAATGTTATCTGCATTGACTTAAACGGACTCTGGCAGGTTTGGATGCTTCTAGAGATTTAGAGGAACCAACTTTTAAGTGGTTTTGACTTTGTATATGTTTTCAAATGACACAAAATAGACATTTACTATAGAGCATAAGGTATTTGTGTTTGAATAACAGGCAAGTTATATAACTTGAGTCAAATATAAACTATTTTTGTCCTAGAAATAGCCTTTATTTAGCAAAATGTGACTTAGGTGAATTGGGTGGAATTACACTTTTAATTACAAAGGAAGGGCATCTTAATAAGTCCACCCTTGATTATATAGTGAGACCCTAACTCAAAACCAGTCTCCCCAAAAAAGCATAATACGTTCACGGCTTTAAATACTCCATTTATTGTAGTTTCCTTAAAACTTGTTGGGACTAGTAGTTTAACACGTGGCTTGTAGAATTTATGTTAACTACTTAAATGCACGAGATTTAGGAATGTGACTTTTTTTGTCTTGCTATCATTGAATGTGACTGGTTTTTATGTTGATTTTTCAAGGGTCAAGATTAAGTTTAGGAGCATTGGAAATGCCAATTCTTGTTTGCACAGTAAAACTTTTGGCCTTGCTTCATTTCAAAGATTTTTGAAGAATCACAGTTATCAACTATAGCCAACCCTACCAGATAGAATTGTAGAAATGGTTATATAGAGCAGTTAGAGATTAAGCTTTGAAAATGACCTACAGTTGTGTGACTTCTGTTCTTTGTTTCCTCACTTGTACTAGTAATGATCACATCCAGCCTAACTTGTGGGAAGAATTTAGCTCTTAGATACATAAGGAAAACCTTTTATATCTTTGTTAGATGTCATGTTGCATTTTCTGTTGCTAGAACATAATGCCTAAAACCAGGTAATTTATAAGGAAAAGTGGTTTATTTGGCTCATTTGGGGATGGCAGAGCGGGCTAGCAAAAATGGGTTGTCAGACCTAGTGAGGCTCTTGTTGATGGAAGATTTAAGTCCTGAGGCAGCACAAGGTATCCAGTGGCCAAGGGGCTCATCCAAGAGATAATTCATTAATTTATGAGTGGATTAATCTCTCCCAACCTTGGCATAATCACCTCCTAATTCCTTATAGTAGGGTTACATTTCCGGTAGTTTGGGTGGGAAAATTGTTACATACACTTCTATTTAAATGGGAATTTGTTTTAAAAAAAAAGTTCAGTAAACTAGATATCAAAGACATTTGTTAAGATTTTTTTTATTGTGAAAATACTGTACAGAGGTTACAATTACTTGGGCAAGATAATGAGTACATTTCTTATCAAGCATTGTAGCCTCCTTTGTTTCCCCTTCCCATCCTCCCCCTGCCCCCCCAATCCTCCCTGCTTCCTCTCCTCCCTCCCCCCCCATGCGCACCAAAGTTGTAAAGTTCATTTTCAACATAGACATTTGTTAAGATCTTTACATCTCACTTGATAGGTCATCTCTTATCTTTCATCTCTTATCTTTGCTGCTGCCTGAAAGAGTACCAAGGGTCAAATGAAAGTGCAGACCCAAGGAAGAGAACTAAAGATCCATGGGTTACAAGCTGAGTGCGATAGTGCTCACTTTTAATCTCAGTACTATATTCAGAAGGCTGAGGCAAGAGGATGGAGAGTTTGAGGCCAGATACCACCTTAAAGTAAGAAGCCACAAAGACAGTAGTGTCTGTCTAGACCTACTGACCCAAGTTCGAATAGAAATTTATAATATTTAAATGGGATGTGTTGAGTTATAAGAATAATGAGTATTTTGGAATAAAAGTAAATTTATAATTGATAGGTAAGAAACAGCATTTTTAAGGTTCCAGATTTTGTGTTGGTTAGTAAAAGAAAAAAAAATTGTGTGTTGGTTGTGGGGCTTGAACTCCAACTGGGCCTTGTCCCTGTACTCTTCAGCTCAAGGCCAGTGCTCTATCCTCAGATCTCAGCCTCATGAGGAGCTAGGATTACAGGTGTGAGCCACTGGTGCCCGGCTTAAATGTTTTGATTGATTTGTAACTGACCATCTTGTCAAATAGGCTTTTTTTCCCCCTTTTCATTGTGGTTGAACTATGGCTCTTGTCAGTTCTAAGCTCTGTCCTAATTTCAGACATATTCAAATATGAAACCAGTTGGGGATGTTGTTCAGTGATGGAATGTTTGCCTAGGATGCACAGAACTGTGGGTTTTATCTCTAGAACCACTAAAGAAAAGTGCTCTTAGGACATAATGGCATATTACACATTAGCAGTTTTCTCTGTTTACAATTTTAAGTATTGGCATATGTAACAACTGGTAGAATCCGATTTTGTGAAGTTCAGTGTTTGATTATACAGATATTTCATTAGGTCCTTTTCTAAAGGGCATTCAAGACTCTTCAATCCTCTACCCTTTTAATTTGTGCTGTTGAAGAATCCATTCAGTTTAGTATATTTACACTGTCCGTTAGGCTAGCTGCACTGATGGGACTGGAGTTGCTTATTCAATTTTAATTCAATTTTAATGAATATCTAGCTGCTCTTCAGAACTAACACCATTTTCCCTGATTAATACTAGCTTACATAATACTGATATTGCTGGGTAGATTCTTCAGCAATTTGTTAATCTGGTTAGAAATATTATTTAATAGAATTTAGTATCCATTTCTTTAATTATAGATGACATCACATATACTGGGCATTAGTATGTACATGTAGGCTTTCTTTAAGGTACTGATTTTTCATATTGATCTGTAAAAGTGCCTTAAGAAGTGATTTTTGACATGTTGTAGATATCCGAATTTTGCAAATTAAAAAAATTAGTGTATTTTTGAGCTTCTAGGGTTTGACTCAGCCTTACAATTGTTAAATGTTCTGCCACTTGAACCTCCAACTGTTTGTTGTTGTTGTTGTTTTTGCTTATTTTTCAGTAGGTCTTTTTTTAAATTTTATTGTAAAGGTGATATACAGAGGGGTTACAGTTACATACGTAAGGTAATGAGTACATTTCTTATCAAACATTGTTACTCCCTCCCTTGGGTCTTATGTTTTTGCTTGGACTGGCCTCCAGGATCCTCCCAATGTCTACCTCCCTTGTATCTGGGATTATAGACTTGAGCCACTGCACCTGGTCTGTAAAATTTTCTTTTAATTTATTGGAAATTTATTTTGGCTTGTTTCTTTTCATCAGTTATCTAGTTGATTTTTTTTTTCCTCACTGCTGAAGATCAAAATTAAGACATTTTCTTGGTAGGCAAGTATTGTATCACTAAGCTACAACCCCATCCTGAATTGCTTTTTTTCTTTTTTAAAGGGGAAGTAGAGACTTTACTGCTCTTTTATTTGAGGGAATGCTTTCATAAAATTGTCTAATGTGAATATTTGTGAATACTATGGCCAAAGAAGAGGAAAATCAGCCTCTTTGGAGGTTTGAACTTTAATAGCAGGACTGGGACAAACTGCATCAGGTAGAAAAGGACCTGGTAAGCAAAATTAACTCCACGAATCAAATATGGGATGTTGTTGACTGTCTTGGCATATCTCTTTCCCTGGCCCGAGGACTTAGTGAGTTGTAGCTGTAGAGTATCAGTGGAAGCTGAAAAGTTAGGGCTAGGACGCGAAGAAAGCAGAAGGGGAAAGAAAGTGAACAAGAAAACTTAAATTAGTGCTCATCATTGTCTTTTAAGTCCTCATCCATAACACTAGGTCAGTGAAAAAGTATTTTTACTGGAATGTTCCTAGTTTATGTTGTGAGAAACAATTGTCTTAGAGACTCAACTTGAGCTGTGTGAGGGCCAGCTCAGAATCATCAGTAGTAAAGACAAAGAGCCCTCAGAGAAAGGGACAGCTTGTAAGCAAAACCTTGGAGGCTGGGTTGTAGGAACCTCATTGCTTCAGTCAGCTCCTGCTGTAGCAGAAAGAAAAGGAAACAAGAATCAAGTCTTTTCCAAGAGATCCAGAGTAAGAGTGGCTTGCAAAGGTCCTTTGGTGGCTTTAATAGCTCTCTACAAACTGTTCTTAGTTTGTTGAAGGGAAAATAAAACAACTTTCAAAACTAGGCAAGTTGCTGGGTGCTAGTGGCTCACACCTGTTATTCTAGCTACTCAGGAGGTTAAGATCTAAGGATTGTGGTTCAAAGCCAGCCCAGACAGAAAAGTCCCCATGAGACTCTCATCTCCAATTAACCACTCAAAAACTGAAAGTCGGGAGCCAGTGTCTCACGCCTGTAATCCTAGCTACTCAGGAGGCTGAGATCTGAGGATTGTGGTTCTAAGGCAGACCAGGCAGGAAAGTCCGAGAGACTTACCTCCAATTAACGACCACAAAGTGGTAGAGTGCTCACCTTGAGCTGAAGAGCTCAGGGACAGGGCCCAGGCCCAGAATTCAAGCCCCATCACTGATAAAAACAAAAATGCTAGCCTTGAGCCAAAACGCTACCACACCCAGTCCTTGAATTCAAGCCCTACAACTAACAAAAAACAAATTAGGAAAGTTGGGAAAAAGATGTCTAAAGATACAGTCATGACATCTTGAGTGCCCTTTTACATTAGAGTTCACCAGAGTCTTATGTCTCAGCCATAAAACTAGGTTGATTGAAAAATACTGGCATATTGTGCATCATAAGGTGTTTCCTCATGGCATTTTATTAATGTGTATGATATACTTTGGTCATATTCACACCCTATCTTGTTTTATTTGTTTTGAAGGCTTTCTAATTTACCTTTTAGAGTTGTATTCTGTATAGCAGCTATAAACCATGTATGGCTATTTACTGTAAACATTCATTTCTGTGGTCATGCTAGACACAGTCTAATATGTGAATATTGTCTACTCTATTGACTGCAGACAGAGCATTTCTGTGATGTCAATTCCGTTGAATAGTACATACTCAAAGATAGTTGTTCCATGAATGATCTTCTGGATCTTTACCGTTGTTACTCAGAATTTGGTCTCCACTCCCATCCCCTTTTCCTGGTCAGTGTATCTAAGAAGTTGCCAGGATCCGAAGTTACAGTTTCTAGGTCTACAATGTCGGAGTTGGCCCTGGGAAAGGCCAACTCTTAGAACCAAGAACTGGCTGGCCTGTCCTCTAGCTACAGCCAGATTTGATGCTACCAAAGATGGTGAGTAGGGGTGGGTAGATTGGGCATGCTGGGCTGGTTTGGGAACACATTGGCTTTCCAGATTTTAAGCTTCATTCAGTGTAGGAGGGAGTCACATCCCATCTTTAACTGATCCAGAGTCAGCTTTTCACCACAGGAGGTGAGTGGGTGAAGGGAATGAGATGCAAAAATAGAGAGAGAGATGTGCTGTGGCTCTAGTTCTTCTAAAGGGTCAGTGAGAGGAGCCTCCTGTGGAGGAAGCTCCTCTATGTTGGAAGGTAAGTAGCCCTCATGGTTGGGTAGGTAGTCCACTGGGAGGACCATCAAGGGACTGGCTGGGTTTTCTGGCTTTGAGTCATGACCCCTGCTTCCAAGCACCTTGTACAGTTGTCTTGTCTCAGCTGTAAGAGCTCTTGAAGGTTGTAAACTGGAGCTACTGTATGCAATGTCTTCTTTAGAGGTAAAGTGACCTTGCATATCTGGTCTTCTTTCTGGCCACTTGGTGCATTGTGAGTGTTGGAAAATTGGGGTCATTTGAAGAACTTCATTGATGACCAGGGGTTCCGGCTCTTCAGGAGCACACAGGGCCACCTGGATCCAGTCCCAGGGCAGCTGCATCTTTTCCTGAGAGGGAGAAGAAAGAGGCTTATATTACAGAGTAGATCATCTTGACAATCTACATCTCCAGGGTTCTCAAAGGTCTGATGACCTGCACTGCCTTAGCAACAGGTAAGAAACTGTCCATTTTCTCAGAGAAACATCAGTGAAACAATTAACAGTGGTTAGGGAAGTAGTGGAGCCAAAGACTCCTTAATCCCCTTTCTCCCTCACCCGCTTCTGCCAGGGGACTGAGTCACTACCCAGCTCAACCTTCAGCCAATGTTTCTAGTTTGAATAGAGCTGCACTACATGCTTTTCCATTTAGGATGGAGGGCGCCAGTACCATGGGTACAAAGGAGAGGTGGAGCTTTCCTCTAGGGAAGAGGTGAATGAAGTTAATCCTGAGGGACTAGGAGCATTTCCAGGTAGGACACAGTGGGCAATCAAATCTGCTGTTTAAGATACTGAAGATAAAACCAGGGGCCTCACCCGTAGAAGGTAAGTGCTCTACTACTTAGCTACATCCTCAACTCCATGGTTATTTCTATTCCTGGAAAGCACAGGCTTTGGAGATAGGAGAGGATCAAATCCTTTTCATGGAATGCCAAGGGGTTTGAAATATGGTGGGTCTCCTAGGTTTCAGGTAAGGTAATACCCTTGCCACATTTGCTTTTTAGGAAGACCTACCACTTGAATAACTTCCCTGGGAAAAATTTCCATTCTTTGTCCCCATTAGCTAGTTTTGTTTGTAACTGGGAATATTTGCTTTGAATTTCGTTAGTTCTCTTGCTTCCATTGATCACCAGCTTTGTAATGTACTCTTTTTCTCTCTAACTCTGCCAATTTGAGTCCAAGTCCTTACAGGATTTTGGGTTTCCCTTATATACTAGAAACTATCACGCACAAAGCCAAAGGCTTCCAAATCTTGTAATGACTAGGGTTTACCTATAAAGTCCTTATCCTGGTCAGGGTTCTGCTATTTCCTCTACCTTCCAGTTCTTTCACTGATTTCCTCCTTCAGCCCCAGGCCACACTTACTTTGTACCCTCTTCACAGTACCACCAACATACTCTTACTGCCTCTGTTTGTTCCACCATCCCCTGCTTGGCTCCTGCCTCTATCATTAGGCCCTTAATGACCATTCTTCCCATTGGAATCCTCCAGCTGTGGAGAAAGCACACTGTAGGTTTTTGGCAAGTGATGATACTTATTTTTTAACATGTTTGCAAACAATCTTATCATGTGGACCAGGTCTCAAGGGAGGAAAAAGATGATGTAAAATAGCCTTGGGAAAGGGCAAACCCTGAAGATTAATCCTAACTCCAATATTTTGGCCTGGGGAAGCTTGATTAACCTCTCTGGGCTATAGTTCTTGTCAAATGACAACTTGCTTGAGGATGTGGTTTGATCAGCCTCTGATATCCCCTCCTTGTGCCTTGGTCATGATAGATGAAGAAAGATAAGGGTGCAGTCAGACTTCCCTAAAGGCTTTTCTGGAGGAAAGGGGTGCTTGTGCAGTCTGTCTCATTTTAATCACTACCCAAACTGGCACTGGCACCTTGATCTGGATTGGAATACAGCTGGCAGCTGTGAGAAGCAGAGCTGCCAAAAGCACTGTCTCCATAGCTGTGGTAGAGATTACACTGGTTGTGGGAAGAGCTGGTTGTTTGCAAAAGGCGACGTGTTCCTCTGCCTACATTAAAGGCTGACAACACTGGCCAAGGTTGTTCCTTAAAGCTTTCCCAGAGAAGGACCTCTGGGAAGCCCTGCAAGAAGCTTTTTGAACCCACTTTGGCTAGGAACCTCATGGTCACTATTTTAAGCTTTTACAAGCTGGATAACATCCCCATGATCTCTTTTATGATTTTGCCTTTTCCTTCAGAGCTAGATCTTTAAAGGCACATGGTTACATCATAGGAAGTGGTAGGGAATATAAGTCCTAAGAGCTCAAATCATATTTTGCCTGGGGTGATACAATTTGATGTCTGCCTGAGGCAGGCATCAGTAGAACATTTGATTCTTTAAAACCAGTCTATTTGCTCGATGCTGGGTGCTCATGCCTGCAATTCTAGCCACTCAGGAGGCTGAGATCTGATGATTGCAGTTCCAAGCCAGTCCAGGCAGAAGTGTGAGAGTCTTATTTCTAATCAACCAGTAAAATGCCAGAAGTGGAGCTGTACCTCAAATGGTGGAGCACTAGCTTTAAGCAAGAAGCCAAAAGCATGAAGCTTTGAGTTTAAGCCTTGGGACCAGCATATCAAAAATAGTCCAGCTACTTGAAGGCTCAATCACATGCAGTTATAAGGCTGTCTAAATAAAGATGTTTTATCTTGAGATCATGTTTAAACTCATTAGTTTCTTTCAACTTTCTAATACACTATTTTGGCAGAAATATGTATTGAATTTTCTAAATTAAAATAAGTTTAAAATGAATATTTAATGAAAATCAAGTGTTTTTCATTTTTCCAGCTTTTTCCCCAAAAGCAACCAAATAGATGTTCTTTTTCTTTTTGGACTTAGGGCCTGAGCACTGTCCCTGAGCTGCTTTTGCTCAAGGCTAGTGCTCTACCACTTGAGCCACAGCACCACTTCCAGCTTTTTCTGTATATGTAGCACTCAAGAATTGAACCCAGAGCTTCATGCATATGAGGCATGCACTCTACCACTAAGTCACATTCCCAGCCCCCCTCAAATAGGTTTTCTATGTATGATATGTAGGCTTCTGGAAAAATCTTGTGCACACAGATGTGTGGGTATATTAAAAAATTATTTTGGGGGCTGGGAAGGTGGCTCAGTGGTAGAGTGCTTGCCTTGCATGCATGAGGCCCTGGGTTCGATTCCTCAGCACTACATAAGCAGAAAAAGCCAGAAGTGGCGCTGTGGCTCAAGTGGTAGAGCGCTAGCCTTGAACTGAAGAGCTGAGGGACAGCACCCAGGCCCAGAGTTCAGGCCCCACAACCAGATCCAAAAAAAAAAAAAAATCCTTTTGTTTCTCAACAAGTGAAACCCAATTCAGACAATTACACTTAGTTTGGTTGGTTTGAAATAAGGTCTCGCTACATAGCCCAGACTGGCCTCAAACTCAAACTCCTGCATCAGCTTCTTTGGTGCCAGGATTACAGCACATGCCTAAACTTTGCTTTTTTCTCTTTTAAGTATGTTGATGATCTTTCAAGTACATGTAGGTCTCGTTTGCCACTACCCTGTGGTGTGGATGTACCTGGATGGGCTTTACACTGTGTTCAATGTATTACTTCTATGTATAAGGCTGCAATGAATGTACTTCAGCTGTATGACTTTGGGTGTATACATTCCAGTCTGAGTTACCTCCCTGTCTTACTGACTAACCCTTTGTGCTTCTTTCTGAGAGATTCTAGGCTTATGGATCCATATGCCTATCACCAAGGCAGAGTCAGATAGAGCCTACGATGCCAAAGCAGCACTTGGAGGCCAGTATCCACACCTGATCAGAGCTGCTTCCATGCTGTGCTATTTTAGGCATTTAGGACCTTGGAATCTCAGCACTGGAAGAAACCTTCAAGCTCATCTGGTTCAACTCTTGCTACTTGAATCCCTTTTAACACAGGTAATGGCATCCTCTAAGCCTTGGTGCTCATGAAATATTCCCATAATTCATGTTAATATTTTCACCTAGTGTATGGACCTCTATAGTAAGGTGTAGACCACTAGAAGCATTGTTCATCCTCTGTTGGATTATGTAATATTATGGTCTACAGTGCAGTGGTGTGTAGCATAACTTGCTTGGATTTGAATCCAGGATCTACATTTATTTCTAATGTGTTGGCATGTTACTTGATCCTCTGTGCTTTAATGTTTTCATCTGAAAAATGAGGATACAGCACAACCTCTTATAGTTATTGTATGAATTGTTAACAGGAGTGCAATGTTTTTAAATGCCTAACATGTAGAAAGTTATATAATTATGTGAATTATACTAATACATACATATAAGATACTACAATTATATACTACAGTAACATACAACATGTAACATATTATACATATATTTTTGTCATAGTTATTATTTGTGCTGTGGTAACTGGGCCAAACTTGCTGCAATACAGAGGGATCTTGACATATGGGTCTTCTTGGGAAAAAAGTGAATGCTCTTTGCTGTGGATGGCTCATATGCTCTTCAAGATATCTTATTTAATCCTCATGACAGTTTGCATAAAAGATGCTGATCCTTGCTGTACAGTAGATGAATCTAGGACTTAGAGTTGGGAAAGTTGCCCACAGATGGAGAAAGTGGTAGAAGTACGTTGACTGGATTCCAAAAACACTAAAGTGAAGAGAAGGCTGGGATCAGCTCCTTCTCTAAGCAGAAGCTGGTCTACTGGCTTCTGTCTTGAGGCAAGGGTGTGGATGGCAGAAGCTACTGGGAGGAGGAGGGCTGTAAGGTTTGAGAAAGGGAGCCTGAGGCTGCCAAGGGCCAAGACAATGGAATGGATTATTGGCATGCCACTAGCCTTCCTTGGCTTCTCTGCTTAATCGTAGTCTTGCTCCATAACTTAGTTGCTTTAACTTTGCAGACTTGCCTCTGAGATGATCCGTCTTACCTATTATGGACTGTTCTCACTGCTGTCTTGAATAGCAGCAGCTCCTTTTCCTCTCAGTTTTTCCTCTGACAGCTGGGCACCTCTCTTTTATTTTTTATTTATTTTTTATTTTTATTTTTTGGGTCCGGTCGTGGGGCCTGATCTCTGGGCCTGGATGCTGTCCCTCAGCTCTTCAGCTCAAGGCTAGCACTCTACCACTTGAGCCACAGCGCCACTTCCGGCTTTTATCTTATGTGGTGCTAAGGAATCGAACCCAGGGCCTCGAGCATGCAAGGCAAGTGCTCTACCACTGAGCCACCTTCCCAGCTCCATGGGCACCTCTCTTTTAAAACCTTTCCTTTGCATAATGGAATTAGTTACTGGCTTCTTGCCACATCCAAAAGTATCTGTACTATGCTCAGACAGGACTGGGAAATTCAGGACTGGGTGAGTTTAATGCTCAGGCTAGTGGGGTGGCAAAAATGGCATGCTAATTGCAAAAATACTTGCTTGCTTCTTTTGAAGTAAGTCGAGGTAAAGATAATGGAGGGGAATATAAGGCCTGTGGAAGACTAAAATATTATGCGCCTTTTACTCTTTTGTTCGTAAGATTCAGAATTCCCAGTGCATGAGTTGCTGTTGAATCCAGGAAGAAAACCAAAAGCTATGAGTCATCTGTCATTCATCCTGAGTGTCAAGAGCTTATCTATAGGATCTCAGCCCTAGGTTTCCATGTAACTACACTGAGAATCAGATGTGGTCATCACTGGAACCCCACTTCCTGCCCTTCCTACCTTACCTCCACAATGGGATATTTCTTGGCCCAAGTGCTGTTTGCTGGGTCTGGGATTTCTCTGCTGCACCACTGAGGTCTGAGAGCAGAAAGGAGAACAAACACCCTACAGATTGAAAGAAAAAAACAAACCAATGACACTGAATGAACCATGTGCACAGTGTCATGAAAGCCCAACTTTTTGTGCAGTGATTTTCGAGAGGAGGTTTGCCTCTGCATGGGCAGGATAAAATACAAACCTGAAAGGCAAAGACAACATATTAGCCAAGGTTAGAACACTGTTCTGTGACATTTGGATTGATGATAATGAGTCACAATGCAGCTACTTAGGGTTTGCTAAATAAACTATGGAATTTTGGCTGACATAGTTTTTAGCAAACTATCCCTGTCCAGCCATGCATTCATTCAGCAAATATTGACTAAACCCCTAAATATGAGACCATCAGTGCCTCATGCTGGGGACAGAACAACAAACAAGAAGACATGGCCTGTACCCAGAGGAACTACTGTTGAGAATTAGAATGTTTAGAAAGATTGTAATGACTGATAAATTATGTGAAACACGTATATTAAAACAACAATGGGGGGAACTTTCCAGAACGCTCGGAGAGAGGTTGGAGGAGCGGCAGCTGCCCTAGCTGCGTATAGCTACACACTCCTTCCCACTCCCCCACCGGCCCCCGCCTACTCACACTCACCTGCTAGAAAATGGTGAAAGAAATGACTTACTATGATGTTTAGGGAGTAAACCCAATGCCACTCAGGAAGAATTGAAAAAGGCTTATAGGAAACTAGCTTTGAAGTACCACCCTGATAAGAATCCAAATGAAGGAGAAAAGTTTAAACAGATTTCTCAAGCTTATGTGGTTCTCTCTGATGCCAAGAAAAGAGAATTATATGACAAAGGAGGAGAACAGGCAATTAAGGAGGGTGGAGCAGGTGTGGTTTTGGTTCCCCCATGGACATTTTTGATATGTTTTTTGGAGGAAGGATGCAGAGAGAAAGGCAAGGTAAAAATGTTGCGTATCAGCTCTCAGTTACCTTAGAAGATTTATATAAAGGTGCAACATGAAACTGGCTCTGCAAAAGAAGGTGATTTGTGACAAATGTGAAGGCCGTAGTGGTAAAAAAAAAAAAAAAAAGGGGGGGGGGGGGACAGTGGAGTGCTGTCCCAACTGCCGAGGTACCAAGATGCAAATACGTATTCATCAGATAGGACCTGGAATGTTTCAGCAAATTCAGTCTGTGTGCATTCAGTGCCAGAGCCATGGAGAAAGGATCAGTCCTAAAGACTGCAATGGAAGGAAGATAGTTCGAGAGAAGAAGATTCTGGAAGTTCATAAGGACAAAGGCATAAAAGATGGCCAGAAGATAACATTCCATGGTGAAGCAGACCAAGAACCAGGTTTGGAGCCTGGAGATATTATCATTGTATTAGATTAGAAGGACCATGCTGTTTTTACAAGATGAGGAGACCTTTGCATGTGTATGGACATACAACTGGTTGAAGCATTGTATGGGTCCAAAAGCCAATCTCCACTCTTGATAACTGAACCATAGTTATCACTTCTCATCCAGGTCAGATTGTCAAGCATGGAGATATCAAGTGTGTGCTAAATGAAGGCATGCCAGTTTATGGACAACCATATGAAAAGGGGCGCCTGATGAGTTTAAGGTAAACTTTCCTGAAAACAGCTTCCTCTCTCCTGATAAACTGTCTTTGCTGGAAAAACTCCTTCCTGAGAGGAAGGAAGTAGAAGAGACTGATGAAATGGATCAGGTAGAACTGGTAGACTTTGATCCAAATCAGGAAAGACGGCACCATTATAATGGAGAAGCTTACGAGGATGATGAACATCACCCTAGAGGTGGTGGTGTGTGTCAAACCTCATAATGGGGCCAGTGAATAGCACCCACTACTGGCATTTTAAATGCAGTAGTAAATGATTGAAGGACTAATCATAATAAGTTCACAACTTGTTATTGTTTTTTGTTGTAATATTCACTGTAGTAGTGTTTTAAAAGTTAAATGAAGAATAAACAAATATAAAAGCTCTGACTTTGCTCTGTATGATGACTTCAGTGTGCAAGATGAACTTTTAATACCTGTAAAAACTACTTTTAAAATAGTTCCTCTAGAATCTGTTAAACTACATCTTGTAATTGATTCAGCTGTGTACATGGACAAAGCTTGAACTGAAATGCTAGGTATATGTGTTGACTTTGGTGTATGGCCTTTTATCATTAATCTATGGAGCTAAAACTTTGTATTTGACTGGTAATCTGAAAAAGAGAAATTAATTTGTAGAGAAATGTTGATTTGTCTAGCTATTTGTATTAAGTGGACTCATTGTGATACCTTTGCATATTATTGCCTCAACTATTACTTGAAGAGTGGCGTAATACATAATTTAGCAAGTGTTAACAGTGATACAGAAATGATACCTTCCTAGTGAAGAGGTTTATCATATGCTGCTTCTAAGGGCTTGCACTTCTAGAATTGCACCCCCTCTCTGTCATCTTTTTAAATATATAGCTCTGTGTGTGTGTGTTCATATATAAATATGCATATATATTATGTTGATTGGTAGTTATGTTCTTTTTCCCTTTGGACCATGATAAAGCCCTCGAGTAGTGACTTTCAGAGTTGGGTAGAAAAAAAAAAACAATTGAAGAGACCTGTACATTGAGAAGTTGTATGTATAACCCAGGAAGGTGTTCCTTAGATATGTTACAGGCTTACTTTAAATGCTCCAAAGTAACTGTAATTCAACGTTGGTAGTATAGCAAATTACAGTGAATAGCTTTAACTGTATGTTTAAAGTCATACGTTCATGAGCTTAAATCTGGATACCAGAATTTAAGCAATTACTGAAATGTATGAATGTCTCCTTAATATACTGATTACAAAGTAAAAAAAAAACAAAACAACAAAAATAAACCCAATGGGGCTGGGATGTAGTTCTGCGGCAAAGCACTTGCCTAGCAAATGCAGTGTTCTGGGTTCAATCTCCAGTACCAAAAAAGAAAAGACCAAGATATATGCAATTAAAAAAAACCCAACAGTACATAATTGTGTGAGTAGCTTGAACATAACCATGTTTTAGAAATGCCAAAAAATAGGCTCTGAGAGTGGCTCAGTGGTAGAGCGTTTGCCTTGCATGCCTGAGGCCCTGGGTTTGATTCCTCAGCACCACATAAGCAAAAAGAAAAAAACCGGAAGTGGCGCTGTGGCTCAAGTGGTAAAGTGCTAGCCTTGAGCTGAAGAGCTGAGGGACAGCGCCCAGGCCCAGCGTTCAGGCCCCACGACCGGACCCAAAAATAAATAAATAAAAATGCTAAAAAATATTTCCAGGGCCATATCTGAACTATTAACAGTGATTGCCTTTGATAGGCAAAGAAAATACAGGTTTTTATGATGTAGAAAGAAAAAAAATATTAAAACTTTTCTAATAAGTACATATGAATTAAATATCTTGCCTTCTAAAAATAATGGAGTGATAGGAAATGTTTTTAAACTTGGCATTAAAAGGTTTGATACAAAAAAAGTAAGCTTCTATAATTTTTTAACTTTTGGGCTAAGATGTGTTGTGTAATACAAAGCAATGTGTTTTCTCCTCAGAAATAAGAGCAGAAGTGTCTGTGTGCTGATATAGACCATGTTCATGGAGCCAGGTGATGGCTGGCCAATAAGATGGAGGAAAAGTAGGTTCACAGTGACTGAATGGACTGTATGAAAAGTAGGTTCCCAATGACTACACTCTAGGGAAAATTGGACTCTTTTATTGAAACCTCTGTATTTTGGGCCTTTTTTTTCTTCCTGCCTTTTTTTCTTTTTTTTTTAAGAGATCAGTAGGTTAGCCTTTACTCTAGCTGACTGTTTCCATGAACAGAATCCATGTGCTCCTAGTTGACTCTGGAGTTAAGCTATTCCAAAGTCTGCCTAAAGAGAGCTCTGTTTGAAGTATCTGCCACACATTGGTTCTTCAGTAAATGTAAGGCCTGGCAGATAAGTTCAATGGCAGGTAGAATGACTTTGGATCTATCATTTTATTTGGCATCTGTAGGAAGTGTTGTTTTGAACCATAAACTAATTAATTTTTATAAGTACTAAAGAAATTTTAGAAAATATAGTAAAATTTAAAAAACATTTCCTATAATTCTATCCCCAGATATAATCAACATTTCTATTGTATTCTGTATCTTTGAGATTGAGTTACTAATTGCTACCTGATATTTATGTTCCCTATTTCCTAGAAATAGGATCCTGATTTATTGAGATGACTGAGAATCCTGCTAAAAGACTACAGGTTTCTTTTCTTTTCTTTTCTTTTCTTTTCTTTTTTGTGCCGGTCCTGGTGCTTAAACTCAGGGCCGGGGCACTGTCCCTGAGCTTCTTTTGCTCAGGCAGCTTCACTTTTGGCATTACTATTGGTACTTTATTGGAGATGAGAATCTCACCAACTTTTCTGCCTGGGCTGGCCTTGCACCATGATCCTCAGATCTAAGCCTCCTGAGTAGTAGGTAGGATTTCAGATGTGAGACACCAGCCCCCCAGCTAAAAGACTATAATTTTAAGATTCCTTTGCCTCATGAAATGCTGTCCAGTGGGATGCTACCACAAGTGTCTGGTGTAATTTACTTCCTCTTGTGGTTGTAGAATGCGAATGTGGTAGCTGGAGTTTCTGCAGCTAAGGGAACATGAGATAAAAGTTGAGGATGGAAGCTATGTCAGGAGGATGGAGCAGAAAAGTAGAAGGTCCTGGGGAAGCAGGGAGCACTGTTTAATGACTAACTTCCTTTACCTGGACAAGAACTGCTAGTAGTTTAAATCTTACTATTTTGACTTTTGTATTATAGGCCACCAGCTTATCTATCTTATATATGTAGTGATTATACACTTTTTTAAAAAAATACTGTGTTGTAACCTGCTTTTTAAAATGCAGTATAGCAATCAGTAACATTTAATTTTCTTCCATATCCTCTTTATGGAAACAGATTGTGTTTTGAAATACACAGAGTTTTGTTAACCAATCTCATGTCATTGTACATTTATGTTGTTTCAAATGTTTCTTTATGAAAAACAGTTCAGTAAACACTTCTCACTAAATATCTGCATACATAAATATCTAGTTAGGAATCCTTAGATCAAAGATAAACATTTAAAATATGACACATATTGCCACCCAAAAGGGATGGACAAATTTATTGTGCCACTAGTAACATATCAACATTTCTATTCATCTGACCCACAGCAGCAATTCTTACTAATCTATTTAAAAAATGTACAATTACCAAGTTGGCAAGTATAACCCACTCACTTTTGCCGGAAGTACTGTGTAGAGAAGATGCCCACGATGACAATGGCAGTACAAATGCTTGATACCACAAATGCTTTCCAAGTGGCTTTACCTGAAAAGTTAGCAAATTATGTTAATGAGTTGTCTTCGATACTACTTCAAAATTCTCTGGACCCTAGCTACAGCTCCTGGGTAGCTGGGCATAGGAATAAAACCCATCCATTTTTGTCCATTTGCTTAGAGACAAAGGGATCTATGTGGGGCTTATTCTGTGGTACTGTGAGGAACTCCAGCCCTAAAGGGGCTCTACTATCTCACAGGCACAAAAACAGAGGTGTGGTATACTAAGTGCCAGTTGTGAATTTGGAACTCGGAGGTCTAGTCTCAGCTTTGTCACTAACAGATGTGGGATCTATGGACCTCAGTTTATTAATCTATAACATGCAAATGGGTATCTACTGTGCAGTTATGAAGATGGAAGATGGTGTTTTTAGAAAGCATGCCAATGTATCCAAACAAAAAAAATTCTCAAGGAATGGTAGTTTTTGATTTTATCAAACCATGGGTTTCCATGTAGACTAGGTCTTTGAAATTGTGCATATTCCTTCTCAAGAAAAGAAGTACATTTCACTACTTATTTATTAATCCATCTAACACTGAGCACCAACCAGAGATCAGGCAGGCCTGTGTTAGGTGCTGAGATACAAAGATAAACAGGACAGGATCCTGCCCCCCCTTTTTTTTCTTTTAACACCTATATTGGGGCTTAAATTCAGGCTCTCACATTCTCCCTTAGTTTTTCGCTCAAGACTGGACTCTATCACTTGAGCCACAGCTCTGCTTTTGGCTTTTTGCAGGCTAATTGGAGGTTAGAGTCTCATGGACTTTCCTGCCCCAGCTGTCTTCACACTGCAATTCTCAGATCTCACTCTCCTGAGTAGCTAGGATTACAGGTGTGATCTCCAACACTGGGCAAGGGTTCCACTGAGATCTGAGGATCACAGTTCAAAGACAGCCTGGGCAAGGAAACTCTGTGAGACTCTTATCTCCAATAAACCACTAGAAAACAGGAAGTGGCGCTGTGGCTCAAGTGGTAGAGCGCTCGCCTTGAGTTGAAGAGCTGAGGGACAGCGCCCAAGCCCAGAGTTCAAGCCCCACGATCTACCCTCCCACCCCCAAAAAAGTCATGATTACACATTCTTAGAGGAACACAAATGCTTAATGACTACATGCATCTGATCATATGAAGTAGTATTTATCAAAATGAACTCCAGAAAATGGAAACAAAAGGTTTTTTCAAAAACTAAAAAAAAGTCATTACAGTCCAGGAGACAGATTTGTAAAGAGGAAGCAATAAACCCCAATGCTATGGGCTATTGTAAAAGCAGGTATGAATAATAGTCTTGGGCAGTGTAGCATGGGTTACTGTTTCATAGTAGCTAAAGAAGTTTTGAGAAAGGCAAGATACCAAAAGTTAAGAGGTGAGCTGGATACCTGTGGCTCACACATGCAATCCGAGCTACTCAGAACACAGATCCAGAGGATTAAGATTTAAAACCAGTTCCATGCCAGTTCCATTTCCAAAATAACCAGCAAAAATCTGGACTTGAAGATCCGGAGAACTACAGATAACTTACAAGAGATGGAATATAGCCAGGTATAGTGGCACACATCTGAAATCCCAGCATTCAAAGGCTGAGACAGTGACATGGGAGAGCTCTACCATTTGAGGAAACAGCAAGAGTGAAATGTGGCAGTGAGAGGTAATTAGTGAATCTAGGAAAATCTGATTATCTTCATGGACATACATTGATACCAGTGTACTCATGTTTGCTGTCTTTAGAACCATCTCTTACCTTGTAGACGAAATTCTATCACATTTCCCTGGGGACTTTCACCAGCAGCTGTCAGAGCTGTCATCCACAGGATATATGTCACTCTGGTATGCAGCTTATTAATTGAAAATGAATTTTGGGAGGGTTTGTAAGGAATTTCTGAAAGGCAGATAAAGGAAAAAGTCATGTTTTCATTGAACAGTTGAATGCAGCCTTTTGCTTATTTATGTTGTTAATGCTTCATTTAGCTGGAAAGAGGAAAAAAGCACATCTTTAATTTCAAAAAGGACAATCCTAATTTCTCAGCACTTTATAATTCAATAGGTCTCAGCACTGTCATTTGTGGAGGTCTCCCTACCTAGTATTTCAGATACTTTTCCCATGTAAAAATCTTTTGAAAGAATTTTTTTGATCTTTTTATATATTTAGTCGGTCGTGGGGCTTGAACTCTGGGCCTGGGCGCTGTCCCTCAGCTCTTCAGCTTAAGACTAACGCTCTACCACTTGAGCCACAGCACCACTTCCGGCCTTTTTCTTTTTGCTTATGTGGTGCTGAGGAATCGAACCCAGGGCCTCATGCATGCAAGGCAAGCACTCTACCACTGAGTCACCTTCCCAGCCCAGATTTTGTCTTTTGAGCAGTGTTACAATGTTGTTTTTGTCTTCCAAGAAGCATGAGTGTTGGTGGTCTTTAGTAAGCTGTGTTTCTTCCTCCAGTACTCTGCTGGGTACATAGGTTTTGGAGTAACCTCTCAAAAGCTAGGGAGGTATGCAGGGAGTGGTGATGTGTACCTACAATTCTAGCAAAGATTGTAGTTCAAAGCCAGCCCAGAAAGAAGCTTGTGAGATTCCATCTCCATAATAACCAGCACAATGCCAGACTGGAGGAGTGGCTCACCTAGTAGAGTGGCAGCAAAACAAATTGAGAGGCCTTGAGTTCAAGCCCTAGTGCTGGAAAAAAATGTTGGGGAGGATTATAAATTCAAGACCGGCACTTGAGGAGTCATAGCTAGCTGTTAAGTTAATGCAGCTGTCCTGGGTCTGTGCCGGTGGTCAGACTGGAAACAGAACTCAGCACTTTGTCTCAGTCTCACAATGTGGTTCATAAGCCCTAGGCACACTCATTGATCTTCTGCATGTCAACCTATGGCAACAACCAGAACCTTGGTGACGGACTATACTAGCCAAGGCAGAGTGTTTGCATCAAAGAATTCACAATTTTATAACAAAGCCACACCACTTCCTCTGTCCCTCCACTGCACCCACAGGGGCTAAGGTCCGAGCAGATCATTCGATAGCTGTGATTATCAGAGCAATTTTTTTCATTTTATATCTTATTGAGAAAAGTTATCTTTGGAAAATTTCCAAGTCTACTCTAGCCTGGTGAAATAGCTTGCACAGACTTAAGCCATATGATGAGCTAAAAAAAAAACAACAAAAACCAACAAAAGAACAAAAAACCTTTCCCATTCCTAAAGCAAGGGATTAAAAAATTAATTTTAGAAAGAGCTTCTGCTCATCTTGCTTCAGCGAAGTATCAATGGGCAGCAGGGAATCAACTGCCCAACTGTGTACAGGAGTCCGGAGCCCAGCTGAGCTGGAGGAGTAAGCAATGGAGGAACAGAAGGGAAAAGAAGGGATTGGATGGAGGTTAGGCCCATACAGCTAGTTCACACACGTGTGTATTTGAAGAACAAAAATAGCAGCTCTATAGGGAGAGCAGCGATGAGGCTGATAGAGTCAGCAGTTTGGTTGGCAAAGTAGGCTGAGTTGTATAATGGGAGGAAGAAGTCAAGCAGGAAAAACTGGTCCTGCTGCCTCTGAGCTGTGATGCCCTGCAGAGATAGAAGGGGCCCTTCAAACCTTGGCAGAGGGCAGCTTTAGACTCTGGTGATTCCATTTAGGAAGATGTGGGAGCTGTCTGCCATCTGAAGGGCTGTGGGTAGGATGGCCAAGGGGACCAGGCCAAACAGCTGCAGTGTTGGTGGAAACCGGGTTTTCAACTGGTAGTATTTGTCTTCCTTATCAACTAATGGAGGAGACAGTAGTGAGCCAAGTGTATAGCTCCTGCCCTTTTACTTATTACCTTGGCCAAGATAATTAGATGGGTAGAAAGCATAATGTGCTGTTGGGAATGGAAGTGGGCTTGCCACTGTGGTATTGTAAACATCACTTTGTCTACAGACCCCCTGAGGAAAGCTGGGCTCCAGAGTGCCCCATGGAACTCACTGAACTGCAGATGCCAAAGCCCTCCTTTACAGGCAGGGCCAAGGCCCTCAGCTTTTTGCTCCTTATAGCACCTTAGCACTGCTTCTGGCCAGGAGTGCTAAACTCAAATAGGATGGAGCTCTTTCTCCATGGGACACCCTTCCTTTGCTGATCCCTCTCCTTAAAGACTGTTCTTTGGGTTCCCTACTGGTTTCTGGTTTGGAGCAAGTTGTGATGTATTATGAACTTCTTGCCTCTTTCTGTACACTCAACTATCTGACCATCAAGAATGTGCTACTAAAAGAGAAATTTCATCCAAACTGTTAGAACATATGAATCCATACCCCTCCTCCACTTTGACTTTTTTTTAGTGACAGACCGAAGGCTTGAACTCAGGGCCTCGGTGCTGTTCCTGAGATTTTGTGTTCAAGGCTAGCAGTTTACTATTTGAACCACAACTCTATGACCATCTTTTTGTAGTTTATTGGAGATAATAGTGCCATAGACTTTCCTGCCTGAGCTGGCTTTGAACTGTGATCCTCAGATCTAAGCTTCATGAGTAGCGAGGATTGCAGGTATGAGCCACCAGCACTAGCATCTTTATTTTAAAACCCTTAAGAAGCTTTAGATGCATTGGATTTGTGGCAAAATAGATGAGGATTTTCTTCCACATCTATAAGAATGTTGCTTCTTGGAAGAAGCAACAGACCACATTGATTTTTCTGGTTGTAAGCAAACATCTCAATTTAAATTCTACCAAAATGAAAATTACCTGGGGGCAAATTTCACCTGAAGAATTCCAAATAGCTCATGATGAATCAGGCTAAATGATTAGCTGGTGACCCCTTGGGGTACATTTCAGAACTGATAAACTTAGTGGGAAGTAGTGATCCATTCTGTTTATTAATGCTGGACTAATTAAACAATGACTGTAAGGCTTTGTAATGGAATACTATAGGGCCTGTTAAAAAGGGATTAAGAACTCAGGAGGCTGAGATCTGAGGATTAAATTTATAGCCAGCCCAAACAGGAAAGTCAGTGAGCCTCTTATCTCAAATTAACCAGCAAAATGCCAGAAGCAAAGCTGTGGCTCAAGTGGTAGAGCACTAGCATTGTGCAAAAAAAGCCCAGGAACAGCACCTAGGCCCTTCAATCAAGCCCCAGGACTCTCTCTCACACACACATACACATACACACCCAGGGGAATAAGAAATCCACATGGATTGATGTGGAAAGATCTGTAGGGTGTGTTACTGAGTGCTAAAAGTGTAGATCAGAATATAGAAAACAACTTCAGATCTATTCTTACATACGCATTATTTTTTTTCTGGGAGGAATGCATAAAGAACTTCCAAGAGCATAAGTGAGAAGAAAGGGAGAATTTTCATTTCATATCTTCTTGAGAAATTTAAATGTTTTTATCAAGGGTAAAGTTTTGTTTATGTGGTCAGTTTTGTCTTTGATACCAGAGTTTGAACTCTGGACCTTACACTTGCTCAGCTTGCTTGCTAATAAATGGTGCTCTACTACTTGAGTCAGCTTTTTGCTGTCCTTTTGGAGATGAAATCTCAGATATTTTTAGCCTTGCTTTGAACTTTAGATCTCAGCCTCCTGAGAAGCTAGAATTACAGGTGTGAGTCATGATGCTCAGCAAGTTTTATTTATATAATAAAAAATTAACTAGCTTTGAAAGCCATCATTTTTAGCAGAATAACACTGCAAATCTCCTAAGGTGAAGAGAAAAGACAAACTACTGAAGTTTGCTTGGGAAAGCCCTCCTGCAGGCATCACTACAGTGCATCCCAGCGTGGCTTCGTTTATTCTTGGACCTATTAACACTCATGAAAGAATAAAAATGTCCTCTCTTTATGATACATGCTACTGAAAACTAGCCAACTGCTCATGAGATAAAGGGGAGGTCAAGCCAAGAAAAAAACCCAAGCTCTGATTAAATACAAGATCGGAACATCTGATCTCTCAGTGACTATGTAGCTACAATGTAAGTAAGTCATCAAATCATTTGAGATAATGCTGGAGCTAGACTTTAATTGCTTTGACCTTAGAGTTATAGAATAATTATAGATCAGAAAAAGTTATTTAAACTGTATTGTATTTTATCCAGCTATGATAGTGATTTCAAATATAGGGATTTAAGAAGTTCTTTAAATGTATTCCTTACCATCCTTAAGGGTCTATATGGTTATCTTTCTATCTATCTATCTATCTATCTATCTATCTATCTATCTATCTATCTATCTATCTATCTATCTATCTATCTATCTATCTATATCTATCTATCTATCTATCTATCTATCTATCTATCTATCTATCTATCTATCTATCTATCTATCTATCTATCTTATCTATCTACCCACCTACCTACCTACCTACTTACCTACCTACCTACCTACCTACCTACCTACCTTCCTACCTACCTACCTACCTACCTACCTACCTACCTACCTACCTACCTAACTACCTAACTACCTACATACCTATCTATTGAGACAGAATCTTACTACATAGCCCAGATTAGCTTCAATCTTGTGATCTTCCTGCTTTACCTTCCTGAGTTCTGGGATTACAGGTATGTTACCACCATACCACACCTGGCCCTTTATGACTTTTTGAAATGATTCCTTGCCCTGTGAGGAAGTCTTTTGACAGCCTAGTCCACTTACTTCATTTATGTAATCTTAGAAATTTGGCAATGCATATATTAAACAATTTTACGTATGTGCATTTAAGGGTCTTGTATTTTTCTTCATTCATTCATTTTACAAGTATTGATGCTTACTTAGTGCCAGGTACAGTGCTAGCACTTTTGTGTAGCTGTGTCCATGTACAAACTTGTATTTCCTGACACCCAGGCAAGGAGGCCCCTCTGAAGTTGGTTTCCATACGTACCACAGAGCTCAGGCTGGGACTTGGAGTCTCGCTCCTTCCAGTATATCTTATAATGGAGGATGCAGCCCATTTGGTTTTGGATTGGGATGTGGTTCCAGAAAACAAAAGCACTCCCACTTTCCTCTGTGATGGTGTTGATGTGGGGGCCACTCCGTGGTTCTGTGAAGAAGACACAGGAGGTTCTGTTACCTTCTGAGTCCCACTCATTGACTGAAAGCAAAGCTTGGTAGAAGTTGCTGGGCTCACCTTTGTTCTTGGAGCTACCCTGGACACAGCTGCATCCTCTTCCACCCTCTGATAGCACATGCACGCAGATCTCATAACATATGTAGGGCTTTATATTCTCTGCCAGGAAAAGGATGTTCTTTTTTTTCTTTTTTGTCAGTTGTGGAGCTTGAACTTGTGGCCTGGGCACTGTCCTTGAGCTCTTTTGCTCAAGGCTAGTGCACTACCATTTTGAGCCACAGCGCCACTTTTGGTTTTCTGGTGGTTAATTGGAAATGAGTCTCATAGACTTTCCTGCTTGTGCTGGCTTTGAACTGAGGTCCTCAGATCTCAGTCTCCTAACTAGACAGGATTACAAGTGTGAGCCACCAGCACCTGGCCAAGCATGTTCTTAAACAGGCATGCTAAGTCACACAGGGAGCCATTTTATTATTGTTCTGGGTCTGGGGCTTGAACTCAGGACCTGGCATTACTCCTTAGCTTGTTTTGCTCTAGGCTAGAGCTCTACCACTTATATCACAGCTCTACTTTGGGGCTTGTTGGTGGTTAATTGGAGATAAGAGTCTCTTGAACTTTCCTGCTTGGGCTGGCTTCCAATTCTGATACTCAGATCTTAGCCTCCTGATTAGCTAGGATTACAGCTGTAAGCCACCAGTACCCAGCTGTCCAATTACTTTACAATATTTTTCAGCTGCTTTCTCTCACTTGATTCTAACTACTACCATCATGAACCTGAGGATTACAGATATCAATTATTATATACATAACTCTGGATTAATTATCACACTAATAACAAGTAGCAGAATAGGGAATAGAGATCTCCTAGTTAGCTTCCTTATCTGTGTGATGGTTTAAAATAATGACAATACACAAACTTACTTAAAGTTAAATGAATTGCTCAAAGACAAAGGCATGTATCACATAGACAGATTAACCACCTCAGCCATACTATTCTGTTGTTTTTTTTTCTGGTTCTATTTTTCTTTTGTTGGCACTGTGCCAGCAGCATAACATTTCAGTTCAGCAGTTCTATAGCTGTAGTAGTGGATTGTTCAGTGTTGTTGTAATGGGTTCTAGGTCACCACTGTCTCATTGTGATCATTGAAGGCAAGGCTCTGGGCCTCTGCCGGTAGCATCACCAAACAAAACTGGACATGGAAGCCCTCTAGAAGGAAGGTGAACTATTACACACCTGATACCAGAGCTGACACATTGTAGGAGGGGACCCTCAGCCAGTTTAGAGGGGGCTGCATGCTGGCCTCTGGATGGAATGACTTCCATTCAACCACATACTCCTGAATAGCAAAGGTAGCTTTTCTGGGAGGCCGCCAGGCCACCACAATGTCATCCATGCCCTCTGAGTTTGCAAAGACCTCACGAGGAGCCAAAGACCCTTTATGGGGGAAAAAAGAGGAGGGGAGAAAGCAGTGAAGATAAACATAGAAAATCACAATAGCTCATCCCAGCCACTATTCAGAAAGAACCAATCTGAGGACTTCCAGGTCACCAGTTTATGTTCATCCCATTTCTTGGGCCTTGGAGAACTAATATCATGAGCAGTGCGGAGCCCTGTGGAATGTTATTTGTGGAATTTTCTCCTTCGCATTCCGTTCCTGTGTTCCCACATGATCCACTCTAGTGAATTTAGTGAGAAGCCTTCTAATTCACCTTCCATATGTCTGTGTAGACATTTATACATCTTTGAAAATTAGCCTAGCTTTGTGGTTTGTTGGATTTTCATGGAACATACATGACAGACAGATAAATCTAACATTTTCTTTTTTTATTTAATCTTATGTGTCTGTTATATATTCATCCTCCTCCTTTGTCAATCTAGTTCATTCCTACAGACCAGTGCCCAAACCCTTTATGTGTGCGATCTCCAAGTGACTATCAGGAAGTTCCTTCTAGCTCTGTCCATACAGACCCAGGTACAGAGAAAATTCTGTTCTTGATCAGCTCTGGATATTCAAGCACAGAATTGCTTGATTATTGAGTAAACTTACATATCACTCATATATTACTTCATACCATCAGACTGATCTCAAAAGTAGCCAGCTGGGCTGGGAAGGTGGCTTAGTGGTAGAGTGTTTGCCTTGCATGCACAAGGCCCTGGGTTCAATTCCTCAGCACCACAGAAGCAGAAAAAGCCAGAAGTGGTGCTATGGCTCAAGTGGTAGAGCGCTAGCCTTGAGCTGAATTGCTGAGGGACAGTGCCCAGGCCCAGAGTTCAAGCCCTATGACCAAAAAAAAAAAAAAAATAGTAGCCAGCTGGCCTAGGGGTATAGCTCAGAAGTAAAAGGTTTCCTAGCAAAAGAGAAAAGGAAAGAAAGAGGGAAGGAGAGGATCTCAGTTCAAGGACCAGCCTTGAACTGAGATTCTCTTGATCTCTGTTTTCTGTAGCTGGGATTACATGTACAGGCATGAGTAACATTGTGCTTGCTTGGCTGGCACGCTACTACTTGAACTATGCCTCCAGTCTGGCTTTTTGCTGGTTATTTTCTGACTTCCAACTCTTCCTTTGTTTCAAGAGTTCTTGGGCACAAGTACTAGGTCTTTTACATCTTGGTTTATGGGTTTTACACATCTTTAATTTTCTTTTTTAAAAATATTGTTATTATTAAGGTGATGTACACAGGGGTACTGTTTTGTAAGTCAGGTAATGAGTACATTTCTTCCGGGCAATGTCATCCCTTCCTTTGCTCTCTCCAAGTTTCCCCCTCCTTTAATTTTCTTGACATGCAATGCTGTGGCAGATACGTTTTGCAAAAAAAATTGTACCTGCTTCCTCCACATCAACGTAAACTCACATTAAGTAATGTCGAGTCATTGTCTTTCCTTTCAGGTAGGAACACGCATAGGGAGGTAAACGCTAACATGATGGATGTGTCACTTTAATAAGCAAAGACTCTAGAATGAAGTTTTGTAACTTTCAGACTTCTATGCAGTGAGGTTTGAGGTTTCTTGAGATATGGTCTCACTAAGTCTCCTAAACTGGCCTCAAATTTGTGATCTTCCTGACTCCACATCCCAAGTACTGAAATTATAGATGTGTGCCATCACATCTGGCTTTAGCATACTACATTTTTAAAACAGCAGGGTAAGCTGGGCACCAGTGGCTCACACCTGTAATTCTGTTTACTCAGGAGGCTGAGATCTGAGGATCACAGTTTGAATCTGAATGGGCAGGAATGGGTATCTCCAATGAACAATCAAAAAGCCAGTAGTGGAGCTGTGGCTCAAATGGTAGAACACTGGCCTTGAGCAAAAAAGCCTAGAGACAGCATCTAGGCTTTGAGTTCAAGTCCCAGTACTGACAGAAAAAAATACAAACAAAAACCCAGCAGGATACTACCACAGACTTTACTTGAAAATTTTTTGTATGATGCCTATTCATTGAAGAAAAATTGAATCATTAAACAACAAAGGAGCCAAGTGTAGTGGACTTTACCTGCAATCCCAGCTATTTGGGAGACAGGAACAGGAGGATCTTGGTCTGAGATTGGCTCAGGCAAAAGTGTGAAACCTTTTCTGAAAACATACTGAAAGTAAAAGGACTAGAGGTGTGGCCCAAGTGATAGAGCACTCACCTAGCAAGTGTGAGGCCCTGGGTTCAATCCCCAGTAGTACCAAAAATACAAACAGGTAGAAAAATCACCTGCAATCCAATGACACAAAGAGAACCTCTGTTAACATTTCCATGTTTTCTAGCCTTGTTTTTCCTGTGTGGAAAACACAAGCTCATGTAAATATTTACATATTTTAAATAGATGGCATTGTCCCGTGTACATTTTTGAAAACATATTCAGTCACTTAGACTGTGTATCATTCCATGTCAATAAAAATATATCCACCTTGTCACTTGAATGCTAGTATGAGATTAAGACAGAGAGCATCCTAGTATGTTTAAACAGTCCATTTTCTATTATTGTACATTGGTGTCCCAAAGTTTCACCACTTGAAATAATTTTCAACAGACATCTTTGTACTTACATTGTAATACTTATTATTTGCTGACGATAAAGTTGTAATGGTAAAATTCCTTGGTCAAAAATACGTGCATATTTCAAGTTTGATATCTGTTGCCAAATTGCTTTCCAGACATTGTATCACCCACCAACAACTGACAAGTATTCCTTCCCCTTACACCCTCACTAACACCCAGTAGGTACTCAGATCTACTTATGCTGTCCATCTGACTTTGTCTTCCATGGTTTTCAGACTTGCATTTCATTGATCGCTACTTAAGCCAAACATATTTTAATATTTTTTTTATTTTTATCTTCTTTTTCTTTTGTTTTGGTCGGTCGAGGGGCCTGAACTCTGGGCCTGGGCCTGGGTGCTGTCCCTCAGCTCTTCAACTCAAGGCTAGTGCTCTACCACTTGAGCCATAGTGCCATTTCTGGCTTTTTCTGCTTATGTGGTGCTGAGCAATTGAACCCAGGGCCTCATATTTTTTTGGGGGGGGGGTCCGGTCGTGGGGCCTGAACTCTGGGCCTGGGCACTGTCCCTCAGCTCTTCAGCTCAAGGCTAGCGCTCTACCACTTGAGCCATAGCGCCACTTCTGGCTTTTTTCTTTTCGCTTATGTGGTGCTGGGGAATCAAACCCAGGGCCTCAGGCATGCAAAGCAAGCGCTCTACCACTGAGCCACCTTCCCAACCCCCTATTTTCATATTTTTATTACTCCTTTTATAAATTTTTTGGTGTGTATGTAGTGCAGGCCTTTAGCATGGTAAGCAAACACTCTGCAACTTCAGCCCTTTCCTCTGAAGTCTTTTGCTTTAATTAATTAATTAATTTAATTAATTAACTTATTTTTTTGGCCTGTTGTGGGGCTTAAACTCAGGGCCTGAGTGCTGTCCCTGAGCCTCTTGGTACTCAAGGCTAGTGCTCTACCCCTTGAGCCATAGTGCCATTTTTCTGAGTAGTTTATTGGAGGTAAGAGTTTCACAGACTTTCCTGCCCAGGTTGGCTTTGAACTGGGAGCTTTAGGTCTCAGCCTCCTGAGTAGCTAGGATTACAGCCATGAGCCACCAGTGCCTAACTGCAAAACTCTTAAGAGTGAAGCTAAGCCCTTCTTCTTTCCTTCTCTTCTGCAGCCTAAAAGGAAACACAGCTCTGGCAACCATCTTGGACCAGTTCCATGTTAGGGATGAGAGCCAAGCTTGGCAGAGGGAATGAAAGAGGAGCCCAGAGGCCTGAAGTCACAAAGCTGTCACCTACCCTGAGCCATCTTTCTGTGAACATCTTTCACATAAGATAATTAAGTCTCTGTAGTCAGTCCTTTGGTAAGAACAGTTCTAACTGCTAGGGGCCATGCCTAGTGAATGTGACAGCTCAAGGCCATGTCCAGAACTAGCTTTTCTTCCCTCAGTCATTTTATCAACTATATTATCTTTGGCTTTCTGATATATAACTGAGAAGAGACAGAACCAGGATGTAACAGTGAATTTGAGATCATGTTTTGGTAGACATTTCTTTAAAATGATTGTGCTAGACTCACATGTACCTAAAATTATTACATTAAATCTTAAGAAAGGGTCTAATTATAGAGTTTTATTCAGTTTACTCATTTTTTGATGTTAGGCTGATTGACAGTGTTGACATTGAATTCTTCTAGAATACAAATCTTGAGCAGTAGTATTAACATCCATTTTCTTGGCTAATCATGGACTTTTATTCTAAGGAGTTATTTTTCAAGACTATGACTATAAATGTGAGACTCTCCATCTCACTGGGAGTTTTTAGATGAAAATAATTGGATGCATATTTAAATTTGTGTAGTAAAGAGCCATGGTAGAGCAGAGTTTTTACTAGAGTTTCATCACAGTCAGAATCTCTTTTTAATATTATTGGTTGAAAAATACATTCTGAATAGTAAATCCAAAATGTTTTATGTAGAATTTAACAATAAGTATAAATCTTAGTCTAATTGAAAAATGTTAGCATTCAATTTAATGTAACTAATACTTTCCTAGTTAATATTTTATTAAGTGCTTGCTACACATTTGATCTTTTTTATAATTTTATTTTATTTTTTGTGCTGGTGTGGGAGGTTGAACTCAAGGGTCTTACATTCTCATCTTGCTTTTTCTGCACAAGGTTGGCACTCTACCACTTGAGCCACATTTCTACCAACAACTTTTTGCTGTTTAATTAGAGATAAGAATCTTATGGATTTGCCCATTTGGATGGCTTTGAACTGTGATCCTCAGATCTCGACCTTCTGAGTAGCTAGAATTACAGGTATGACCTACCAATGCTTGGTTTTGTATATTATTTACTCTTGTGGTGACCTGCAAGATAGGTAATACAATTCTTCTTTTATAGAGGAAGAAATTGGAGTGCAGAAGTGTGAAGTCACTTGACCAAGACCACTCAGCTGATTGAAAAAGACAGCTGTAGACTCCAGTGTTTAAACTCCCAACTCCTCATGCCAGGCTCCAAAGGCTGGGAGTATAAACTTTGGAGGTAAAAGACGAATAGGACAAAGGATCAGTACTTACCAGTGCTGCACAGATCCATTATCTTAATATAAGTGGGCAGGGAACTTCCTCTTGAGTTGGCTGCAGACACAGCTGCAGTCCACGTCCCAGTTCTGGGAATGACCCATGTCCAGGAGGTATAGCCCGTGATGTTCTGTAGTATAATTTTCCTCCCTGTCACCTCCTGCAAGGTCACCTGATAGTACAGTATTTGTCCTCTTGCCTCTGACACACTCAGATTCTGCAACAAAACACATCTACTTACTATTTCCTCTCCAGCAAGGTTACTGGATGCTCCCACCCTGGGCCTCCGTGTCCCTATGTTAGGTGGCTATATCTGAGTGGTTTTTAATTTATGCCTTCTCATCTCCACTTCATAGTTCTATACAAGGACCCAATTTAATCATTGTTGAAAGATAATACTCCAAGACACATGGACTTTCCTTCCTTTCTTCTAGGTGAAATTTACTAGTAGAAAGTAGCTCAATCTGGTCAATAAGACAGCATGGGATCTGAGCCATAACACAGACCCAGGACTAGGCTCTCAGTCCCTGTAGTTCTCCATTTCTAAATTTGTGAAACACAGACACACAGATACACACACACAGCTTTGTGTAGAAAATATAAAGCTGCTCAAAACATCAAACCCAAGACATTCAAGAGCTGAGTGAGCAAAATCTATACTTGGTGAAATGAACTAGCTATCTGTGCTGGGGCTGGGAAGGCAGCTCAGTGGTAGAGTGCTCACTCACCTAGCATGCATGAAGCCCTGGGTTCGGTTCCTCAGCACTACATAAACAGAAAAAGCTGGAAGTGGCACTATGGCTCAAGTGGTAGACTGCTAGTTTTGAGCAAAAAGAAGCTCAGGGACAGTGCCCAGGCCTTGAGTTCAAGCCCCAGGACTTGCAAAAAACAAAAAAGAAACCAAGAAACTGCTCATAAATGTGTGTCTAAGTGTTATAACTGGGGAGATTCCAGTTATGGAAAGTAAGGTGAAAACAAATGACTTACAATCTTGTTTGGGAGACAGAAGCCTGGAAAACGGACTTGTGGAGGGAAACCCACAGTGCCCATCCCCTCTCAGCATGGGGGCTCAAGCTTCATCTGCTGAAAGAAACACCTTAGGCACAGCAAATGCCTCCTGCTCTGGTTCCCTCATCACCAAGATTTCCTAAGTAGCTCATCTATCAGAAAGGCTAGGCTATCAAGAATGTTAGCTCACTTCCAATCTCTGTTTTTTCATTTTAAGAGAATAAAATGGCTGATTATAATTTGACTCCCAAAGCAATTAGCATTCTGGGAGAGAATGTTCAATGTTCCTATTTGCTGACTCAAGCCTTCTGTTTGGCCCAACAGCTGCACGTTTGCTGTGAATTCATCCGGGAGCCCCTGCCTTTTTTATTGTTGTTTCTGGGAGTCAGATCAACATAATACATCTGTACCACATGGCCTAAAATCAAATCTTCAACCATGGCTAGGTGGGTGCCAGTGACTTACACCTGTTATCCTGACTTCTGAGACCTGGATGATCACCATTCAAACCCAACCCCTATGCAGAAAAGCCCACTATACTCGGTCTGTAATTAAGCAGCAAAAAGCCAGGCTGGACATGTGGCTCAAGTAATAGACAATCAGCTGAGTCTGCAAAGGTAAGTGTGAAGCCATGAGTTCAAGCCCTGGTACTAGCAAAAACAAAAAAAATAACAACCCTGGTCAGTGTACGAGGTGAATGCAGGTTCCTAAAGTTAGCATTATTGAAGACAGTCCCTCAGTTATTTCTCACTGTATCCTTTTAACTGCTCTGTAGATCAAGCAGAAGTATATTACTCCTCCCCCATACCTCACCTCAGCACTTCCCAAGAGTTAAACAAGCTCAGTTAGTTCCTTCTTCCAGAGCTGGGTACAGGTGGCTCATGCCTATAATCCTAGCTATTCAGGAGGCTGAGATCTGAGGATCACAGTTCAAAGCCAGCCTGGGCAGGAGAATCCATGCGACTCTCTTATCTCCAATATATTACCAAAAAGCCAGAAGTGGAGCTGTGGCTCAAGTGCTAGAGTGCTAGCATTGAGCAAAAGAAGCTCAGAAACTGCACCTAGGCCCTGAGTTCAAGCCCCAGGATTCACTCTAAAAAACCCCAGAAACCAAAAGGCAAAACAAAGTTTCTACTTCCAGTGACCTGAGATTTAAGCCCTACTTTAACAAGTAAGTAAACAGAGAGTAATAGAAGAAAACTCCACAGGACCTTGCAAATCAGCCTGTATTATCTCTCTCCTTCCTATACCCAGACATCTCATTCTGTCCAAGAGTATAATACTGAAAGAGGGGAAAGAGTTACTGGGAACTTGCATAGCCACCCTTGCAGAAGTGCAACTGGTGGTAACATCTGGTAAATGAAGGGGCAGGTCAGAAGCTTATAAAGGTCTCCAGGACATAGTAAAGGGCCTGGACTCGAGCTTCTGGGTGGGTATCCAACTTCAGATCTCATGTTTCAGAGCTTAGAAGATGAGTGAAAAGATAAGGTGAGATTGAAGTGGTTAGACAGGTAAATGTGGCATTCTGGGGGTTATGCTTATATAAAATGTCAGGCTTGGGTAAAGGTTAGCTGCTTGTGGGTAGTTGGTCTCCTTAAGCAAATTGGAAAACACACCTAGAGTTCCAGTAGGGTCCATGGAACAGAAACCTTAAAAAAAAAATAAAGCACATTGAAACAAGTATTGAACTAAATAGGCTCTTAGTCTCCTGAAGTTGCTGGAGACTGTCTGGTTTTAATAGTGTAGAAGAATAAGAAGAAAGAAGAAAAAGGAAAGAAGAAGAGGAGAGAGGAAGGAAAAGCAGGAGAGGGAGTAGGAGAATGCGGAGCTCTCTCCTGTGAATCACTGCTCCTGAAGCTACAGGCATCAGTGAACTGGTAGGTTGGTTCAGGACTTGTTTCAGCACTGGGATCCCAGCCACCTTCCTGCCCCAAGTTGCAAAGCAGCTTCTCTAATGGGTTGTTGTGATGCACTCTGTCATATAGCATCATCAGCAGTCATAGATTCAACAGATGGGGGTGGGTGGAACCCCAGAATTCTTTTTCTGCCAGGGTCAGCAGGCTCTGAGTTACAGGAGTCAAGCTGTGAATCCAGAGAACACTGTCCTGGGAAGCCAGGCACCTGCTTACTCAGGTGACAGAAGGAAAAGAAACATTGATTAGTCATCCCAAGCCAGGAACTTTGTGTCCATGGTCACAGTTAGTCCGTGTAACCCCTTATTCTGATGAGTGAGCTGAGTCAGAGAAGGAACTGTCTCAAGCAGTCCCACAGGGGAAGCACGTGAGATTTTAAGGTGCCCTCTGGTGGATGCAAGGGAGAAGGGAGTTACCCCAAATGGACATCCTGTGTCCTTGGGAGCAACACCTAGAACCCCTTCTACTTTCTCTGGCCAGTGGCCCTACTGTCCTCATCCCACTTTCCTTCTGGTTAGAGAATGAGAAAATGGAAAGTGCTGTCCTGCTAGTTCCCCCCTTCCATTTCCTTTCTGCTCTGTTGTCCTGGGGGAAATGACTGAGACCTTGTATGGAAACTCTCTGACAGAGGTGCATCTGAGAAATGGTGAATGGATAAGTCTCTTAATAAACCTGTTGGAACAGTTCTGCCTCAAAAGGCTGTCCATCTAAAAAACAGTCTACAAGAAAAAAATCTCACACATGTCACAATCTGCCTGTTATATTTTTATTTCTTTATTTTTAGTGGCCTGGGGCTTGAACTAGGGGCCTAGGTACTGGCCCTGAGCTTTGTTACTCAAGCCTTGTGCTGTTGTACCACTTGAGCCATAGCTCCACTTCTGGCTTTTTTTGGGGGGGGGCGTTAACTGGAGATAAGAGTCTTAAAGACTCTTTAGCCCAGGCTGCCTTCAAACCCTGGTCCATTTATCTCAGCCTCCTGAGTAGCTAGGATTATATTTTATTTTTTAACTCAGACTCTATTGTAGAAAGAGTATCTCTGATCTGTTAAGTCATTTTTTCTTACTACTTAAGTCTATTGCAGTTATAAAGGAGTGCTTTATTCTAGTGTCTTCTGATGCAAATAATAAAAGAGAAACAAAACTTATAAACCTTAGCCTATGTCAGAGAGTTTATATCAAGGCCTCTGGAAGGCTGGGGAAATTTGAACAGATTAACCACTGCTCTTCTTTCCTTTGATTTTGGTTTCATAATACTGTCTTCCCTTGTGCCCTGCTCCCTTATCAGTGATGCTCAAGAATGAATCCAGGGTCTCGTCCATGCTAGGCAAGGGCTCTCATGCTAAGCTATATCCCCAGACCCAAATCTCATTCAGGAAACCTTTAGCTTTCTTGCTTTCCTGCATAGCAGCTGCATAACTTTAGGCCATTTTTTTTTCTCGAGCTTTAGGTGCCTCTGTATTCCCATCTGTAAGTTGAGAATAATTTCATGCCTACTGGAAGCTACTGGAGCATCCAAGGACATAAGCTGTTAAAAGAGTACATGTGGCACATGCAGGCCTAAAACTCTTGGTGAGTCCTCAGTTACTGTGGTCAGGCACGACCCTCATGATGGTGCCTTATATGCTGCATGCCTACGATCTTTCTGCATCTCTGCATGGATTCTGCAGCCCTGTTGCTTACAAAGTACATACAACTGATATGTTTAACCTGGCTACCTTGATTTTGGAAATCATGGCTGCCCTCAGCAATCCCAATCCAAAGTGAAGAAGTAACTCAAATTTTTTCTTGTTCCTTTTTTCAGGTGGGGTCTTGCTTGCTATGTTGCTTGGGCTGGCCTCCAGTTCTTGGGCTCAAGAGATTTCTCCCTACTCAGCCTCCCAAGTAGCTGAGACTAGAGGTACATGCCAACTACTTCATACTTACAACACAAGGGTCTCAAACTCATTCCCCTGAACTCTTCCATCTATGGATCTAACTCCCCCTAGCCTGTCAGCTCGCCTTCACATCCTTCACACCCACTCTTAATTTCATAATAATAACCTTCTTTGAAAGATAATACTGACAGGGCTGGGGACAGGGCTCCAGTGGTAGAGCACTTACAGAGTAAGCAGAAGGCCCTGAGTTGTAGTATTGGAAAAGCAAAACAGAAAAGAGGAGGCTTAATAACATATTTGTCATTTGAATGAATGACAAAGTGCATTCTGTTTCTTCTTCCTTTTTTTTTTTTTGTCATGGGGCTTGAACTCTGGGCTTGGGTGCTGTCCCTGCACTCTTCAGCTCAAGGTGAGCACTATGCCACTTGAGCCATAGTGCCACTTCCAGTTTTCTAGTGGTTTCTTGGAGATAAGAGTCTCATGGAGTTTCCTGCCTGGGCTAGCTTTGAACCATGATCCTCAGATCTAAGCCTCCTGAGTAGCTAGGATTACAGGCTTGAGCCACCAGTGCCCGGCTTCTGCTTCATTTTTACACAGGTTATTTCTCTCCTACACTCCTGGCCTCAACTATAACTTCAGAAAGATGATGGCTAGCTATAACCAAGACTGAAGAAATTCAGAGGAAAGTTTAAGGTTAATGTGGCCTATATTTTTTTAGTATTATCAAACATATTATGTTTCAGGTGACTTTCTTTTGAAGAATACATGTGGTATTAACTGGAAGAAAATGTCTTTGAATCATGGATTGAAATGCCTGATCAAAACAAAGGAAAACTGGGAAGAAGGAAAGGAGGGAAGGACCCAAGCTAGAGGCCACTGGGAAGGGGTCTCGGCCCTACCATGGCCTTTGTGATTCAGCAATACCTTCTTACTACATTTGTTGTTTAAATAATGCCCATGTTATTTTGTTTCATAGATCAAATGTCTTGGTTTCAGGAGAGAGACTACTTTTTCTCTTAAAAAGAGCTGTGAGATGCTGGGCTCCAGTGGCTCATGCCTATAATCCTACTCAGAAGACAGATCTGAGGATCATGGTTTGAAGCCACCTCAGGAAGAAAGTCTCTGTGAGACTCTTTAATAAACTACTTGAGAAAGCTGGAATTGGCACTGTGGCTGAAGTGGTAGAGCACTAGCCTTGAGCACAAAGAGCTGTGAGATGGTTCCAGTGGCTCATGCTTGTCATCTTAGCTACTTGGGAGACTGAGACTGGAAGGACCATGGTTGGGGGTCAGTCCAAGCATAAACATTTTCAAGACCCCTTTTCAATGGAGAGCTGTCAGTGGTGGCATATGCCTGTCATTCTAATGGGGATGGGGAGCCTAACATAGGTGAATTAAGCCCAGATGCAGGCCTCACAGAAAAAGAGACTTTTCCTCCACGAATAACCAGCTGTAGATAGGGCTGGAACATGGCTCAAAGACCTCACTGGGAATCCCATGCCACCGATAGACCTTTGCTCCTTTTCTTGGTGAAGTACGTTGGGCTATAAAGCAAGTTTGTGATCTAGCTGTATGTTCTCTCTTGGAAGACATTTAACAGAATCCCGGGACTGCCTCATGCCATTCCTGGAAGTTCCAAGTCAGCAGGGCTTGGCATGAGACTCACTCCTCATGGGAGCAGGCACGTGGGTCCAAACAGAAGAGGCAGAATTGTAACACAAGGTCAGGGTCTACTGGACGTGCTGGCTAACCTCCCTGTGGCTCTAGAGGCCTGTAGGCCTATTGTGCAAGAAGGCAGGAAAGCCCCTCCTGGTGACTGGTCAATGATTCTACTCCTCTGCTCAGGGGAGCAGCCTATTTGGGATCACTGGACAAACCCAGATTTGACTTGATCCTTGACAACTCTGCAAAACTTAACACTGAACCAGGAGCACATGACTCATGTCCATAATCCTAGCTACTCCAAAGGCTGAGATCCGAGGCTCAGGATTCAAAGTCAGCACAGGCAAGAAAGTCTGTGAGACTCTTATCTCTAATTAACCAAAAAAGCTGTAAGTGGAGCTGTGAGTAGTGGAGCCCTAGCCTTGAGCACGGAGGTTCAGGCCCTGAATTTGAGCAAACAATACTGGCCCAGCTTTCCTGGGGACCTACTAGGCTTGAGCATCATGGAATAATGGCATGTAGCCCTGTGATGACCATCTGGCTCCAAGTCATAGAATGTTCCAACTCGTAGAAACTTCTTGTTGACCTCTTACATAAGCCAGCTCTAGGCCAAAACATCCTTCTTGAGCCTCCAGTTTATGGTTACACAACAAGAAGGATTTTCTAACGGTAAAAGATGTCTTGAGTTTGGTCTGGGAATGTGGTTTAGTGGTAGAGTGCTTGCCTGGCATGCATGAAGCCCTGGGTTCGATTCCTCAGTACCACATAAACAGAAAAGGCCAGAGTGGTGCTGTGGCTCACGTGGTAGAGTGGTAGCCTTGAGCAAAAGAAGCTCAGGGACAAGTGCTCAGGCCCAGAGTTCAAGCCCCAAAACTGGCAAAAAAAAAAAAAAAAGATGTCTGAGCTGGACGTTGGTGACTCATGCCTGTAATCCTAGCTACTTAGGAGGGTGAGATCTGAGGAGTGTGATCCAAAGCCATGGCCCAGGCAGGAAAGTCCCCGAGACTCTTCTCTCCAATTAACCACCCCCAAACCAGAAGTGGAACTGTGGCTCAAAATGGTAGAGTGCTAGCCTTGAGCACAAAAGCTAGGGATAGCCCCCAAGCACCGAGTTCAATCCCCATAACCAACAAAAAGAAAGAAAAAAGCCTGATCAATCATAGGCTGCCATGTCCCAACAGACTTTTGTTTGCCCTGGCAGGAGTAGGCTGGATGTTTATGAGAGAATGGGTAGATTAGAACGGCACTGAAGTCCCTTAGAATTAGAGGAATCACTTAGCACTTCAGCTTTCTAAGCTAGACCAAAACGAGCAGCAGAGAAGAATTTGTATGTGCACATTTGCTCAGATAGCTGTGGTTAAGGAAGTATTTATTTGCCTTCTGTCTAAAATTGCTTTCAGAGTACCATGAAGTGTAGGGTAGAAAGTCTCTTTGCCACCATGATGAGCACAGAAGCAAGGCATGGGGCAGGTGACTCTGACTGTTAGGATAAACATTCGGGATGTATTACCATCTACTTTTACCTTGGTGGCACTTGTGATCTGTGCCTTCTCATTTATGGATCCCCACTATGGCCTTGTTGGTTTGGTGGTTGCCCATATAGTGACCTTCTTTCTGCCATGGAAAATCTTGAGAAAAGAGACGTGAAATGGAATAGCATGACAGTCTTCTAGACTACTGTGGAGGACTCTTGGAGGAAGAATCTTCCAGGGAGGAGGATTTTGTTTTTAACCAGTTACTTCCTTGTGAAAATGAGAACCCACAGCCAAGAATCCAGCTGGATTCTTTTTATAATATTCACAAATTATGACTGTTTTGCAAGTCTTACTTTGAGAATCGTCTTATTAAAAGTGGGTTTATTTTCAAATAAATTTTGAGCAGCAGCGTTAGTTTCAAAGAGCTTCACCAAGCTATTTTTAGTAGTCTTTCTTATACTAGACATTTCATGTGTAGAGAGAAGAGGAAAAGAGATAGAAGGAAGCCATTTCTTAACCTTGAAGAAGATTGCAATGATCAAAATCCATGAGAGGACTTCATCACCATGATTGTGACTCTTTAGGCTTCCAGCTCAGTGGGTGAATAGTTCAAAACTGTTTCTTTGTCTTCCACTGGAGGAGGAGGAGTGAAAGAATGTGAGTTTTGAGAAGGAGAGTGGAGTGTGCCTCACCAGGAAACTTCATGAGCATGCCAATCAGTAGTTCAATTCAAATAGTTTCAACAAAGATGAGTCATGGGGAAGCAGGAAAGGTCAAGATGTGGCCTCAGTCCCTGTTCTGTATTTAGTGACTGGGTAACTTTGGGCAGGAGCTTCATCTCTCTGACACTGGGTTTTTTCTATTATAGGAATACCTCTCTTAGACCCATGGGGGTCTTCTGAGGGTTAAATGAAATGGAAATAGTGCTTTCAGCATTTGGAGAAACTTTCAGTCTGTAATGACAAAGTTAGGCTCATTGTGTTCTGAAAAGTGGTTCAATTTATATATGTTTTGCAACCATTCCTCAAGGAAAGACCATTGCCTATTGCTATTCATGCTACTTTCTACTATTAGAATTCTGGTTGCACTCTCTCTTTCAATGACTATAGAAAATACATTTCTAACAGTGCTATCCATGCTTCTCACCTTTCAGTCATTCCCCAGCAGGTGAGTGAGAGAAGGCAGCCTGGTCACAGCTAGGCATATTTAGGGAAGGGAGGTGGTTGGAAAGGTGGATAAAAGTCAGAAGAAATGAAGTAGCTGGAGTCAGAGGACTCTGCCAGGGATGGGGAAGGACCTTGATCTGACAAGAGGGGAATGAAAGAAGTAAGTGAATGTGCAGAGAAAGTTAATGGGCCTGGCCCTCAGGAATTCTGGATATGTCTGTGAAAATGAACTCTAACAAAATCAGAAACCTCATGGCAAAGCCAGGGTGGGAAAGAAGGTTTCTTTCTGTCCTGAAAATACATAATCATTTGTATAGAATTTCCTTGAGTTTTAAATTGACCTTGAAAACTTACCTTCCAGAAAACAGAAATCTGTTGTCTATTGTAGTCCACATGCTGCTTCATGTACCAGATATCTAGTATCCCAGTAGGCTCTGATTTGAAGGGGGGGAAAAGTATTTTCATATGAAATAGGAAACTTTTACCAGTCAATTGGTCATTCAATAAATGATTCTAGAAATGGGATCATAGGATACATTCAATTTTTCCTTTACTGGTATTCTCTTTTGTATTTCTTTTCCAAAATTAACACAAAACAACAGACATTAACCATAAACATGTATATCTTTGACCCAAAAGTTGTGGAAAAGAAAGTTTTGAAAAATGATGAGGAGATTCATTTCCTAACTTACCCTTAAAATATATGAATGCATGGTTTCATTTGTGTACAAGTAATTAATAAAAACCTAAAGAATAGTAAAAAATATTAAATGATAAATGGGTGGCCATTTATTTCTGTAATGAAGTGGGAAAGAACTCTTGGCAGAAAAGTAATGACACAGGAGAAAACTGTTTAGGTATTTTTTTAAAAACAACACAAATACAAATGACAAACTTTGTATTTATCTGTGTTCCCGAATTCACACTGTAGTACAGTTTTTTGGTTTTTGATTACTAGACAATGAAGTGCTTGAATGGATGGCCTATATCTTTTATGTTGTCATTCTTAACACCTAGAACAATGTTTAGGATGCCATAAGGCTTCTGATAGTTCTTAAACAGTGAGTGAGCAAATGAATAAATTTGTCAATATTTTTAATGCCCAAATATATTCTGACCTGGTAAAAGAAATGAGAATTAGCCTATGAGACAGTGCTTACAATTGCTTAAAAGTTCCTGTTTAAAAGTCATCACTTCTATCACAGTTGCTTAAACCTTCCTGCTTATGGTAGCTTGACTCTTGTTGATTATTTTGCTAAGACAATATCAGCAAGTAAAGAAAGGGAAAGAGGAACTATGTAGGGATAAAGATTTTTGAAATATAAGGTTTTGTCTTAACTGGTTGTTCCAAGATGGAATGAAGGCACACCTCAGATTGTTCAAGAAAATAGCAGAAGGTATATGCTTTGAGATTGCTTGCATACTGTTAATCAACTTATCTCAAAATCCCCCTTTTTTTTCCTGTTTTTAAGTCAGTTCGAGGGCTTGAACTTAGGACCTGGACTTTGTCTTAATGGTGGCCATTTAATGCAAATACATCTTACCTTCTTCATAGTACCCAATCATGAACCTGAGCTGGGCCAATTTGAGCAGGGGGCAGAGCTTGTTGCATTAAGAATAGAAAGGGAGAAGCCTGCCTGCTCTGTGTGCTTCCTTACTTGAGTTTTGGCCAATAGTGCACACTTCAGTAGTAAACTTTGCCTGGGGGAGAAGCAGGGAAGCAAAAGGGAAAGGCGGGGGCGGAGTCCTTTCTGGATGGGCCTGTGTGGCCATTTACAGCCATGTCACACCCAGTGAATATATGATGAAGCTTCAGTGAGGGGTTAGCTCAGACAGTGGCTAACCTGTGAGCTGTGAAGCCAGGCAGGCCATCTACAAACCAAACCCGGCTCTGTGATCTTCAACACACACCACCCATGTCCTTTGGCAAGCTTCCTCATCTGTCAAACTAGAATGATATTTCTGTATATCACGTGAGGTTGCCTTGAGAAGTTAAACAAAAGAATAATGGCACCTGGCAAGCTCTCAGCAATTCTAGAGGTTTCTGTTCTCTTCCTTTGAAAATGGAACTGCTGAGAGGTTAAGGGACTTTGTTCAATACCCCAGAACTACAAATTAAAGAAGCCACAGGAACATTTGATTCCAGTCCATAGTTTTTGCTCTGTGTCACATAATTGCCTGGTTCTGAGAAAGATTGTGCTTTCTCTATAATCCACCCATTCCCCTCAGGTGGGCCTCTTGATGGCTCTTCTCTTCATTTGTCACTTTTTTCTGTCGTTGTGCCCTCTTTTCTTTTTTTAAACATCCCCTTTTGTTCTTCCCTAAAGCCTTCTCCCATCACCCCATCTCATCTCCCCAATGGTTCTATTTACCTTTGCAGGGAAGACTGAGAGGCAAGTTCCCATTAAACATTCTGAAAACCACTTCTTCAGTATCTAGAAGAGTGGCCCAGGAAGTGACTTGGGACATCGATGTACTAATAAGCCAGGATACAAAAAGAAACAAAAGTCACAGGCAACTAAAGAAAGGAGACAAGTTTCAGCCACTTCCTCGGCACAAGTTCTTTCTAGGAGGCTGATATGGCAGGACTCTATAAACAGTATGTGTCCGTCCCTGTGTTGCTTTGCAGACCGGCATGCACATCTAAAGTCAAGCCAAGTGCAGGACTCTAGGTATCAGCAATGGAATCACAATAGCTCAGGGCAAGGAGGAGAGGGAATGAGAAAGTCATATAAGGGCGAATCTGATCTAAGTGATGTGTGTGGAAACATCATGATGGAATCTCTTACAACGCTCCAATTAATAAACCAATATCATTTAAAACCAATATCATTTAAAAAAAGGCTAAACAAGAGAAAGTAGTAGTTGTACAGGTTTGTCTGTTTGTTCTTGCTCTTGTTTTAGTGGACACTAAGGAAAAGTAGAGAACTCTGTATAGTGAGATTGGAACCTGAACAAAGAAGAAAACAAGGCAAAGGCTTTGCGAGAACTTGCAGACAGCAGACCAAATGAAAACATGGGAGGCTTGCTTTTGGCTTCCCCTCCTTTGGCTTGATGCTCCTGCTGAGCATCAAGACAAAGAGGAGCCATTTACCTCCTGGGTTCCTTGACATATGCTTTCTGGGCTGTGATACATGTATTCAGATCTAGTTTTGAGCCAGGCACTAGTGGCTCACACTTGTAATCCTATTTACTCTGGAGGCTGAAATCTGAGGATTGAGAGTTCAGACCAGCCTGGGGGAAAAAAAGTCTGTGTAATTTTTATTTCCAATTAACCATCAAAAAACTGCAAGAGAAAGAGCTCAATCATAAATCAGTCACGGTTTTAAAGAGTACCTAAAAAAAGCTTACGAGTAAGTTTTTAAATGTCAAGTTGCACATGAGTACACCTTCAAAGGGTTAAAAGAAAGAAGTGTGAAAAAAAACTTCACACCTTTTAAGTTTACATCAGTTAGTGTTTCATAAAGAAACTGATGACAGAAACAGTGGTGAGGGGTGAAAAACCGCACAGCGTAGGGTAAGAGCAAGTGAACAGCCCAACAACAAGCCACAGAAAGATCAAACTGAGGAAAGGGAGATTGAAACTGAAAGGGAGCCCATGGAGCGTGGTGAGAGTCAGGTAACAGCAATGTGCGCACAGTGTGTTGAGTGTTGGTCACAGCCTGTGATAGTATTCACTCTAAGGAAATGGTCTCCTAGATCTGCTCACAGCCAATAACTGGGTCATGACCATTATGAGTCACTATACTCCGTATGATTGAGGTTTATTTCATAGGATCTTAGATTTACCACCTTGCCTTGAAGGAGTTGTAAATCCAACATATAATGTTTAAAAAAGGTCTTCACTAAATACAAGAATGACAAGAAGTCACAAGTCCAATTACCTTATTTTACAGTTCAGCCTAATGATGTTGTGTTAGTATTTATCAGCTTGTTACTTACTATTGGGTTGTAAAATATGGCCCATTTAAGATTATTTATCTGTATTATATTAACTAAACCTAAGCCATGAGGTGGATATATATATATATATATATATATATACATATATATATATATGTATATATATATATATACACACACACACACACATATATTACTTTGACTCTGTATAGAAGAGACAAAGCTCAGCCTCAAGCTGGTGGTTCATACATGTAATCCTAATTACTCAGGAGGATGATATCTAAGGATCACATTCCAAGCCAGCTCAGACAGGAAAGTCCATGAAACTCTTAATCCATGATCTCCAATTAAGCACCAAAAAAGCTGGAAGTAGAGCTGTGGTTCAAGTGGTAAAGCACTAGCCTTGAGCAAAAAAGCTCAGGGACAGTGCCCAGGACCTGAGCTCAAGCCTGAAGACTGACATACACACACATATACACACACACAAAAGGCAAAGTTCTGGATTATAATGACAAACAGAAAGCAAGTGGATCAACATTAAGACATTTTATCAAAAAGTAAGAGATAATTCACTGTCATTTGTTGAATAAATTCATTTTAAATATAGAGAAATGAAGTTAATATAGGAAGAAAGTAAGATTATTCTATAAATGGGATGTTAGGTATGATGCTCTTTTTGGACCTTGTATGCCACTGAAACATTATTACTAAGTGTCATCAATTACCCAAACCATTAGGAGTGCAAAGAATGTCACTAAAAGGCTACTTCATGCATGCACACATTCATAATGTTCAGGAAGAAGCATTTAGATTTTTGCACATTGGGGTCATTCTAAGAATGTGGATTATAGATTTTCTTACATTAATATTAAGCTCCAGATCATAAGCAATGGATTTTTTTCTCTGATCAAATTTACAAAAATTACTAACTTCTATACCATGGTATCAATTGTAGATTTTTTAGAGGTATTAATATAACTTTTATTTCCATTAAAATATCATCTGTACAATAGTGTGTGTGTGTGTGTGTGTGTGTGTGTGTGTGTGTGTGTGTGTGTGTGTTGCTACTAAGGCTTGAATGCTGGGCCTCAAACTCCTGCTTAGCTTTTTCTGCTCAAGACTAACACTCTGCCATTTGAATCATACCTCCACTTCTGGTTTTTTGCTCATTACTTGGAGGCTGGCTTCAAACCAAGGTCCTTTAGATCTCAGCCTCCTGAATAGCTAGGATTCTAGATGTGAGCCACCAGCTCCCAGTGTGTCTATATAAAATTTTGATTTACTTCCTTCTCCTTTACCTGTTCTATTCAAATTTGAATATTTAACATTGATTCACCATGTAGCTAACATGAGACTTACATATTTCTCAACCTTATGTTAATAAGATTTAGTTGAATTCAGTGTTCTCTTTCTTATTTCTTAATACTTCATGTTTCGTGTAATAAATTATCTTTCCTACACTTTGTCTACTTGAGTAACTATGTAATGAGTGTCTCTTCTCTCACACTTGGCAATATGAGTGAATATAACCACCATTTATAACATCAGTAACAGGACTCATCACCTAAGCCCTAAGTCATGTCAAATCTCAAAAATGACCTGGGGTTTTCACGGGAACTTTATGTATTTTAGTCACTCTTACACTGTTCAAAACTGATTGCCAAAATTAAGGTGTTAATTTAAAGGCACGTTTCAAATCCAAGACTCAACAATCCTTGCAGCTGCATATACAGTGTTGTGAGAGGCTCTGCTTAGTTAATGCTTCAAACTCAACACAGCTTCCTCTGGGCACAGCAGCACCCTGGGCAAGCAGCTCTAGAAAGAGATTTGCTCTGAAAATGCTGTTTGGTCATTTAGTGACCACTTATGTTAGCCAGTCAAACAATTATATCCACATTAGTGAAGGCACAGTATGAAGTTTTCAGAAGTTCACCATCTTTGTAAGAACTTGCTTAGTTTAGTCTTTTACTGGCACATGCCAGTAGAGCAACTCTTTTTTTTTTTTTTTTTGGTCGGTTGTGGAGCTTGAACTCTGGGCTTGGGCACTGTCCCTGTGCTCTTCAGCTCAAGGCGAACGCTCTACCGCTTGAGCCACAGCTCCACTTCTGGTTTTCTAGTGGTTTATTAGAGATAAGAGTCTCATGGACTTTCCTGCCCCGGCTGGCTTTGAATCGTGATCCTCAGATCTCAGCCTCCTGAATAGCTAGGATCAGCGCCTGGCTAGTAGAGGAGCTCTTAAAAGGTCCATACCTAGCTGTCCTGAACTGTAAATAGTCCTTTCAAGTTTTAAGTATGGCTTATAGAGTCATTTTAAATATCAGAGAATAAAAAATATGATAAAAAGGCATCAAGGTTTATGGAGAAAGGAATGAAATTCATTGCTAGTTACAGCTTTGTAGAATCACAGTTATGGAGACCCTAAGGGAAACAGGGAAAGGATTTAAGGAAACATGAATTATAAATTTGTACCAAAGTGACCAGGGGCATTTTATCTAATGTTAAAAATTTCTAGCTGGGCACTGGTGGCTCACGCCTGTAATCCTAGCTACTCAGGAGGCTGAGACGTGAGGATCACGGTTCAAAGCCAGCCCAGGCAAGAAAGTTCGTGAGACTCTGATCTCCAATAAACAACTAGAAAACCAGAAGTGGCACTATGGCTCAAGTGGTAGAGTGCTCACCTTGAGCTGAAGAGCCCAGGGACAGCTCCCAAGCTCAGAGTTCAAGCCTCATGACCGACCCCCCCAAAAAAAATTCTATCAGTATACATATGTCTTTGCACAATTTCAGTACTTAAGTTAATGCCAAAATCTACTTGTCAAAATTGATTAAGCATCAGTTAAGGCAATCATACTTTTAAATTCAGTACCAGTACTTCAGAAATTCTATTCTGAGGAATCATTATGTTTTCACTCCTTTCCCTCCCCCTCCTCCAACACTTACCTGCCTCTGGTGTTTGTATTCTCAATGATTCACTCCACTCACTCCAGCTTCCTTTATAATGTAGCTTAGAGGAAATCTGAAATTCATATTCTGTAAATGGCTTCAGATCCAGCAAATCATGTTTTCCTCGGGCAGTTGTGACATTAACCTTCAATCAGATAATATTTATTTTTCTTGAATATATATTTATATATTTTTATGGGTTACATTATGATTCAATACATGCATATAATGTGTAATAATCAATAAGCATTTCCATGTTTTCAAATATGAATCTTTTTTTGTTTGTTTTGGTTGGTTGTAAGGCTTGAACTCAGGGCTTGGACGCTATCCCTGAGCTTTTGTGCTCAGGGCTGGTGCTCTACCACTTGAGCCACAGGTCTACTTCCAGTTTTCTGGTAGTTAATTGGAGATAGGAGTTTCAGACTTTCCTGCTTAAACTAGCTTCCAACCTTTATCCTCAGATCTCAGTCTCCTGAGAGCTAGCATTATAGCATGAACCACCAGCACCTGGCTCAAACACTAATCTTTCGTATGTGTTAGCATTTCATACTCTTCTGGTTACTGAAAATGTACCATAAACAATTTCAACTTGTAGTTCTTCTATTGGGCTGAAGAAGACTCGAAAGCTGTCTGCCCAATCCACTATGTTTTGATGTATCTTAGTGAATTCTTTCCATCTATCCCCACCTGACCCCTAGTGACAAATACCGGTTGGTATTTGTGAGAACTAATCAGTTAATCTTATAGGAGAACAGAAAGGAATAGCTGAATGCATAAGGTTTTTTAAAGAAGCATCTGATATACTAAATTAACATAAAGACTTTTAATGTTAAGGGAAGAAACCAAGCCAGGTGCTGGTGGCTCACGCCTGTAATCCTAGCTTCTCAGGAGGCTAAGATCTGTAGATTGTACTTTGAAGCCAGCCGGGGTAAGAAAGTCTGTGAGACTCATCTCTAAATAACCATCAGAAAACTAGGAGTGGAACTGTGGTTCAAAGTGGTAGAGTGTTGGCCTTGAGCAAAAGAGCTCAGGGACAGTACTCAGGCCCTGAGTTCAAGCCCAATAACTGAAAGAAGAAGAAGGAGAAGGAGGAGGAAAATAGAACCTATGACCCTTTTGACTCTTCAAATCCGTCATTCAATGAGAAATATCAGTGATTGGTTACTGAGTACACATGATGTCAACCTAGAATAATAATTTCTCATAAAAGAGCAAAAGTAGAAACAAAAATCTCTTGGGACAGACTCCATCTGTTCAGGTTCCCAGTGGGATCATAAAATCAGCTGAGAATTGAGCAAAAGTTGAAAACTCAATTTTCAAAAGCCTTGGTGAGGTTTCTACACTAGATATTATTATTTGTTTAGTTACAGTTAGCATGTGATGAATGTTTTAACACAGTCATAGATTAAGTTTTGTTTGGTTACAATTAACATGCGATGAATGTTTTAACACAGACATACAACTGGCTTCAAAAGAAAACTTTAGTTAACCAATCTCAAGTATCAGCTCCCTGTGGAACTGATCCTTTGTGATGTTCATAAGTCCCTGGGTTTTGCAAAAATTCTGGAAGGAATTAGAACCCAATTCATTTTACTGCAAAAAATGTTATTCCTTGGAATATTTAGTCCTCTATAAGGTTCTGTGGAAATTCTCCCATTAACATTTCTTTTTAATGTTTAAAAATGTTAATTGGGCCGGGCGCCGTTGGCTCACGCCTGTAATCCTAGCTACTCAGGAGGCTGAGATCTGAGGATCGCGGTTCAAAGCCAGCCTGGGCAGGAGAGACTGTGAGACTCCTATCTCCAATAAACCACCAGAAAACTGGAAGTGGCGCTGTAGCTCAAGTGGTAGAGTGCTCGCCTTGAGCTGAAGAGCTGAGGGACAGCGCCCAGGCCCAGAGTTCAAGCCCCAGGACCGACAAAAAAAAAAAATGTTAATTGGGCAGGGGATAGTGAAACAAGGAAAAATAAATTATTTCATTAAAATAACTGTAGAAAAAATAAAATAACTGTAGAAAATTATTATTGGTTTAGAGAAATGTGTTAGAAAATTCAGAATCACAATACATAGCCTAAAATTTTTAAGAAAAGTGAGGGAGGGGGTGGTTTGGGAGGAGGGAGTGAGAATTTTGAAAGGTGTGACATAGATCAAGATCTACTATATTCATGAACTGCTTTCTTGAATGCCAACTCTTTTGTACAACTACCTAAAGAAAATAAAAATATTAAAATTCAAAATCAGTGATCATGTTTTTTTTGTCTAGTCCTGGAGCTTGAACTCAGGGCCTGGGCATTGTCCCTGAGCATTTTTGCTCAAGTCTACTGCTTATCACTTGTGCTACAGTTCTACTTCTGGCTTTTCTAGTGCTTAATTGGAGATAAAAGTCTCACAGACTTTCTTGGCCAGCTGACTTCAAACTGAGATCCTCAGATCTCAGCCTTCACTTGAGCTACAGCACCACTTCCAGCTTTTTCTGTGTATGTGGTCCTGAGGAATTGAACCCAGGGCTTCATGCATGCTAAGCAAGCACTCTACCATTAAGCCACCTTCCCAGCCCTATTTCTTTTTAAAAATATATAATTTTATTGTTGCTATTTAGGAGTTATACTGAGGAGTTAAAATACCATAAATCAGGTAATGAGTACAATTCTTCTTGGACAATACCATTCCTTCCTTCATTTTCCCTGTCATCAAGTTGCATAGTTCATTTTTTTGCAAGCTACATAGTTAATTCTAGTATATATTGGATATCAGGACTTTAATCCTTCCCTCCATTTCTGTGCCCTCCTTTTGCCCCCTAAAGAACCCACAAAAAACCTGAAAACAAAAACAAACAAACAAAGTGGCGCTGTAGCTCACGTGGTAGAGCGCTCGCCTTGAGTTGAAGAGCTGAGGCCCAGAGTTTAAGCCCCACGACCGACAAAAAAACAACAACAACAACAACAAAAACCCATGCTTCCATTTTCTAAAATGTGTTTTGATAATAGTAGTTTAGATGTTCCGAGGAGTTATGTCTTTGGGTTCCTCCCTAAGACTATCCGCCTTCAGTCTGTATGTGAATGCTTACAGTCCTGAATAAGTTATCATGTCTAACTGTATTTTAGATCTAGTTTCCACATGTGAGAGAAAACATGTGCCATTTGTCTCTCAGAGCTTGGCTCACCTAACTTAACATGATTTGTTCTAGGTCTATTTATTTTCCTACAAATGACATATAGTATTCTTTCTAATGAATGAGTAAAATTCTATTGTATATATGTACCACATTTTTTTGGGGGGGGTCTGGTCGTGGGGCCTTAACTCTGGGCCTGGGCGCTGTCCCTCAGCTCTTCAGCTCAAGGCTAGCACTCTACCACTTGAGCCACAGCGCCACTTCCGGCTTTTTTCTTTTTGCTTATGTGGTGCTGAGGAATCGAACCCAGGGCCTCAGGCAGGCAAGGCAAGCGCTCTACCACTGAGCCACCTTCCCAGCCCTGTACCACATTTTTTTAATCCACTCATCTACTGAAGGGCATCTAGGCTGTTTCTACAACTTGGCTATTATGAATAGTGCAGTAATGATCATGGATATGCAAGTGTATTTACTGACTGATATTTCTTAATAAAAAGAAGGACACATGACTATCTAATAGCTCTCCAAGGTGTATCTTCAGGCTGTGTATCTTCCTCCTTCCTGCTCCTCCCCATTCTGCTCTCCCTCCTCATTTTCCTCTTCCCCTTCCTCTCTCTCTCTCTTTCTCTTCCCTCCTCCCTCCCTCCCTCCTTCCCGCCCTTCCTTCCTTCCTTCCTTCCTTCTTCCTTCCTTCCTTTTTTTTCTTTCAACAGCATCTTACTATACATTGCAGGCTGATCTTGAACTCATTTGTAGTCAGGCTAAATACTCCAAACTCCTTATTTTTCTCATATAACAAGCCAGAGGTCTGTGAAATGATACTGAGAACTCCTTAATTATATCCCCTTTCCTTTAAAGAACATTACCATATTCCAGAAGCTGCTGCTCTTGGGCCGATATCTAAGTCGATTCAGCAGCACCCAGCCCTCATCTTCCCATTGAAGGGTGCATCTGCTTGAAGAAGCATTGAGAAAGTTGATTCTCATGTTCCATGGAGGGAGAGGCTTCACTAGTCACCAAGAGAAACAAAGTACAAGTCAGACTTTATAGGCAGTAATCACTTCATATATTGACATGAACTATAATAAAAAAGAGTTGGTTTTACCATATATCCTTTAATCCAATTTTATGTTTATGGAATAGTGCATGTGTTGACTTCACTTATGCCAGTAATTTAATGAAAACCAATGTGCCAATCTCAAGATCCAGTGGCCAAAAAGGCAGAGGTGGCTAGTGGTGATTGTCTCAGGAGGAAAAGAAATGTTGGTATGGAAATTCATAGCAATTGGAATAGAAGAATAGAACAGGGGGCCGGGGTAGTGGAAAGGTGGCCGAGAGACAAGTGTTTGTGAAGAGATACAAGGCAGGATGGGGAGAAGAGTAGAGGAAGGAGTTCAGCGAATGCCTATGGTCAGATGCTTGGGTAGCAGTATGTATGCAGGGAGGAACCACAGGAAGGGAGAAGGGAGACACCCAGGGGGAAGTGGAACCTTCAGGCAGCCCAGAAGCCTAGGTTCATTCAGTTTGACCAGAATTTGGGTTGTCTGAAATGGCTTCTGGTTCAATTGGGCCAATTACACTTCCTGAGACTAGCTTCCAGGCTGATGAGAGGGCATTTTCAGAGCAAGATGTTTTTGTACTTTGATACATTCTATACATACTGAACTATGAAATAACCATTGGGAAAAGAGGATTCCTTTATCAAGGGGTCTTTTCTTATTTTTTTTCTTTTTGTTTGGTGATACTGAGGTTTGAACTCAGGTTTTCATGGTAGCTAGTTAGGTGAACTACTGTTTGAACCCCATTTCCAGGCCTTTTAGCTGTGTGTGTGTGTGTGTGTGTGTGTGTGTGTGTGTGTGTGTGTGTGTGTGTGTGTGTCAATGGCCAATTCTGGGTCTTGAATTCAGGGGCCTGGATGCTGACCATGCGCCTTGAGTCTGAGCCTTGAATCACAGCTCTATTCCCGGCTTTTTACTGGCTAATTAGAGTTGTATAGTCTTTCCTGCCAAAGCAAGGTCTAATCTGAGATCTCAGCCTCCTGAGTAGCTAGGATTACAAGCATGAGCCACCGGCACCCAGCTCTATCTCTGGTTATTTTTGAGACAGTATCTCACCTTTTCCCTGGTTAGTCTGGACTACAATCCTCCCATTTACACTCCCTATATTGTATGGAATGGTAAGTGCACACTACTACCCTGTTCAAATGTTTTTTTTGTTGAGATAGGGTCTCATCGTTAACTTTTTGCCTAGGCTGGCCTGGAACTATACTCCCTGCAATCGCAGTCTCCCTCATAGATGGGGTGATAGGTGCCCAACACCACACTCAATTACTGATTGATAAGGAATTTGATGAACTTTTTGCCCTGGCCTTGAACAGTGATTCTCTTTATTTCTATTTTTGAATCAATCAGAATTACAGACATGAGCCACTGTGCCCAGCCTACACTGAGTTCCTTGAATGGCTCTTTCCAGTGAATGGTACCTTAAGTGACTGATGCATTCATGAGGTTTGAAGCCAGGCATCTTATTTCTCCAATAGAGCTCATTTTGTAAAGTCATCTCCTCATGGCTCCCATCACAGTAACTTCTATCTCTGCCTTGTGCCTATGGGCTACTTGCCATCAACCTTTATCCCTCCTGTAACTGCACATAGAAGGTATGAATGATTTTAGCTGGGTGTTGGTGGCTTACATCTGTACTCCTAGCTACTCAGGAGGCTGAGGATCGTTATTCAAAGACAGGTGAGGCAGAAAATCCATGAGACTCTTATCTCCAATTAACCAACAAAAAGCTGGAAGTAGAACTATGGTTCAAGTAGAACAACACCAGCCTTAACCAGAATAGCCAAGCAACAGCACAAGACTGTAAATTCAAGCCCCAATAGCAGTGAGTACACACACACACACACACACACACACACACACACAAGAACATACACACACAAGAAGTTATGAATGGTTTTAAAATTAATATTATATGTCAATGAATGACACTGACAAAAGGTGAAGTAAAATGTACCTATGTCTGAGAATGTAAATGTAGACAGAAGTGAAGAAGTGTTTCCAAGACTATTGGTGGCAGTGACCTTGGCTGTGAACGTGGATTCAGAATACTCAGAGGGTAGGTTGATTCCAAGATCCAGCCACTCAGGGCAATCCTTCCTGCATTGCTTCTGACAAGTTAAATTTTTTGGCCCATTAAACCTAAAAACAAAACATAATTGCATTTAGAAAAATATTTTAAGAGCTACTTTGTCTTTTTAGTACAAAAGAATAAAATGTTCAAACATTTAAAACTTGAGAATTTTTCCCTCCCTCCCTCCCTCCCTCCCTCCCTCCCTCCCTCCCTTCCTTCCTTCCATTGTTCCAAGACTGAGACTCTATCTACCTGATGCTTTGCTCGTTGGCTGGTTCTCTACCAACTGAGCCATGCCAACAACCCCTAAAACTTCAGAGTTTTTAAAGCTTAGTCTTACTATGAGATACACCATGGGAATATTTGCATTATATTCTTATAAACAAACCTGCATTTCATCCATTCTTCTTCTTCTTTTTTGGTATAACAAATTTATTTCCTTTTTAATGCTCATATAAATAAGTAAATGTGCCTACACTGAATTCTCAAAATCCAGGCTGTCATTTTGGCATCCCAGGGCAGGTTCAACATTTATCAGAGACTCTGTGACCACCGCATCATCTACTGCACAGAAATGTCAGCTCCTGGCACTTCAGGGGCCAGAACAGTGGTCATTCAAGCGCTCTTCCCCAAGTCCTGCACACTCAGCCACAGTGCCCATCAGCGCGATCTGTAATGGGCTTGTGGAATCTGCTCTTAAGAACAGAATCTCCCCACAATCTCTCTTCCTGTCGACTCTTCCATAAGCCAACTCTGTCTTAAAAGCAGTCTCTCCAAGCTAGTGAAAAATGACTACAAGAAAGAGTTATGAGGGGCTGGAAAGGTGGTTCAATGGTAAAGTGCTTGCCTTGCATGCCTGAGGCCCTGGGTTTGATTCCTCAGCACCAGATAAGCAGAAAAAGCCGGAAGTGGTGCTGGCTCAAGTGGTAGAGTTCTAGCTTTGAGCTGAATAGCTGAGGGACAGTGCCCAGGCTCAGAGTTCAGGCCCCACAACCAACAACAACAACAACAAAAAAAAGAGTTATGACCCCAAGACTACAACTAGAGCAGGGAAGAATATCCTCCATTTGGGCCTGGGTGACCTAAAGAGAGCTCACGACCAGAGGTCAGGTCTCCCAGTTTGGATGATCAAATGAGATTGCATTGATGAACTCTAAAATGGTTTTTTCTCAGGAATATAATTGTCTAGAGTATCCAGTTCCGCTTGCCCCTGGCAGAGATGACTGTGAGGTAAGCTAAAGGTCATGTGTGTGCAGTCTCCTACTCACTGTAATGTATACAGATACGTGTCTCTCCCTCGGCTCCATGTGCAGGCCACAGTCCCACGTTCTCCCGTCTGTTCACAAGACAAGTTTTGAGGCTGCTCTGGAACTACTTTCAAAAGAAATAGATAAGACTTTGCATTTTGAAATAGCATGTGGGAGAGATTACAGTCTGAATTGTTATTATTCACCAACAAATTCACAATACCTCCTCCCCAATCCTCCCCAATTCAGACAATGGATTCCATCAGGTTCAAATTTCCCCTAAAGGTATATATTTCTTATAAGAAGAGTAGTACTAGGGGCAAATATCAATCTATCAATCACTGTCAAGCCCTACATAAAATGGCAAGTAAGCACCTAGTACCAGCTTCATGTGCTCTTTCTGAGGATGTCCATAAAAGGCCAACTAACCAGATATACTTCCTGTTGAAACTACTACCAGCTCAATATCATCAGCACTTTTTTTTTTTTTTTGTCGGTCGTGGGGCTTGAACTCTGGGCCTGGGCGCTGTCCCTCAGCTCTTCAGCTCAAGGCGAGCGCTCTACCACTTGAGCTACAGCGCCACTTCCGGTTTTCTGGTGGTTTATTGGAGATAGGAGTCTCACGGTCTCTCCTGCCCGGGCTGGCTTTGAACCGAGATCCTCAGATCTCAGCCTCCTGAGTAGCTAGGATTACAGGCGTGAGCCACCAGCGCCCGGCCATCAGCACTTTTTATACCACGTTGTGTCACACAATGATGTGTTGGTCAATCACATATAATGGTAGTCTCATAGGATCATATGGCCTAGTGATGTCCTAGCCATTCAGTCTGTGAAAGTACTCTATGATGTTTGTATGGCAATGAAATCAACTAGTGACACAGGTCTCAGAACCAGCCTCAATGTTCCTTGACACATTAGTCATATTTGACCAAATTCTCATTTAGACTCGCCTCCTCACGCTTGGCTTTCTGAAAAGTCCTTCTCCCTTTTGAAGTGTTAGCATGTCCAGGCACTTGCCTAGAGAAATCAAGAAAAGACCATAAGTATGGTCACCATTTTAACCTCCACTATAAGTGATATCCAGGGGTCAGGGGTGAGCATGGATGGAATGATGACTTTCTATGTATGACGTGAGAGAGGGGAGAGGTGTTTAGCTGTATGCAGTCAGCCTGAGCTGCAAGATACTCTTCCTTAGCTTTAAATCAACTTCCAAAAGTCAAAGGGGGCACTATGATGTGACTGCAGACATCCAATTCCTTCCTAGCACTGCGGTTCAAGTGAGAAAGAGAGGAAGAGAGAAGAGTGAGCAAATAGGAGGGAAAAAGGAGAGGAAGGACAAGAAAGAGGAGAAAGAGGAAAGACAGAAGAGAAGAGAGAAAGCAGATGATGGGGGAAGAGAGGAATGAGAAGGGATAGAGAATAGGGAGAAGCCAATGACAGGAAAAAGAGAAGGGGGGGAATAAGACCCTCATTCTATTGGCCTCTGGCCATCCCACACTGAGGCTTTCATGCTGGGATCTAACTAACACCTCATGTGGTGAGAGAAGGAAGAATTCTGCTTAACACACAACAAGCACCACCACTCCTGTAGGAATGTGGAAAAGCCATTCACCTCCAACTGAGATCACTACTCCGCACACTGGCCAGATCTCTGCCCTGTGGGCAGAGACCAGCTTGCAGACAAACAAGGTTTTCCCCAGGGGGAGATGAGTGACTTGAGCACTGATGAAACTCCCCCGACCAGAAGCGATTTGTATGCCTTCCCGTTCGAGGATTAACTTGTTAGCACTGGCATTGTTCTTCAGAGAGCAGGAAATATTGACAGCTGATCCAAGGGAAATCACGTGGGAAGGCTTCGCTATGACATTGCCCTTGGGGCACACATCTGCAGGTGGAAGAAGGAAATACAGTCTCACTCTCAATTTTCAAATGTGACAGGAAGGCTCCCTTGACAATCTCTTTTTTTTCAAGATGGTTGAGTAACTTGAGGATTGCTTGGTTCAGCTACCAGAAAGATGAATTTTTTTTTTACATTATTTAAGTCAAGTAAAGAAAATAGTGAAAATTACTTTAAAATAAAAATGAAGTCTCACCCTTAATCTTACATGTTCGATCTTCTTTCATTTGAATGGGTTCTAAAACCAAAGCTAAACTCTCAATCTTCTTTTTTTTAAGCCAGCTTTTTTTTTGATATATGTATTTTTTTTGGTATGAACTTGAGACCTTCCATTTGCATATTACACTTGAGCCATACCTCTACCTTAGCTTTTTGCTGTTATGACTATGGAGTCCTGTAGGCATTTCTGTGCAGGCTGGCTTTGAACCTCAGTCCTCTATATTGCATCGTCTCTGGAGCAGTCTTGTGATACAATGGACTTTTATGTGCAACATGCATTCATTATGCCTTAGTTGCCCAGCCACTTTCTTAAGAACAATTGATATAACTGGACTCAATTGTTAAAATAAATGAAATAAAATGCATATTACTTATACAACTAGAGCCCTATATTTAGATGAAAAAAGACTATAAAAGACCACTTGGGATATTTACCATGAATGCATCTGTGACTGAGAGTTTGAGGGAGAAATCCTTGTGCAGACCAGCTTATAGAACTACCTTACCTATATTTGCTTGAATCAACAGCCACGTGGTTATAAAAACAAGTGCCAATGTGCATCCCCCAACAGTAAGGGCCATCAACAGTCAACTCCGGGATACAACTGGTTTTCCTGGTAAAGAAAACAAATTCATTCATGTGAAATACATCCAGAAAATACCAGAACCCAAATTATCCATAATAGTTTAAAGCAGCACTTTCTGTTTCTCCATGTTAAGATTTTGGTGTTTGTTTGGTTTTTTTTTTAAGGAAAAAATACCCTTGATATTAGTAAGCTGAAACATCTCAGTCACTTTGCAACCCCCATTTTAATGAAGCTTCTTAGAGTCAACACAGGGTTGGAAGACAGGTGCAGTGGCACTCATGTGTAATGCCAGGCAGGAAGATTGAAAGTTCAAGGGCAGCCTGGACTAGAAATGGAAACAGATGGACAGATAGATGAATAAATGAAACAACAACAAATTCAGAAGGCCTGGAGAGAAGCTGGTGGGTCATGTACATGTCTCCATCCATTACTGAAAAGTTCAAAATCAAGATGCTATATGATTCAGTGTCTGATGAAGACTTGTTTTCTCATTCTTAGTGCTCTCCAGCTGGGTCCTCAAGAAGTAGAGTAAGGCAGCCCAGGCACTAATCTATTCAAATGGGTTTTGCCCTATGATCTAATCAGCTCCCAAAGGCCTAATCTTCTAATTCCATAGAAATTCAGCATTCTCTTGCCCCCCATAGAGCTCTAAAAAGGGTCCCTTTGATTCCTTCTTTAGCCTGATCATCATTCTGGAAGTTCCAAGTAGTGAAAGCATCTTGTCTCTAGTCTCTGCTAGCTGTTCTTCTGTCTTCTGTTGATGCAACACTATGAGGACCACAGGACACTCAAAATATATAGGTTTTGCTTTATTTCTACTTTCTCCTTAGGAATCTCATCCAGTGCCATGGCCCTATCATCTATAAGCTAAAGCCCCAAGATGCATATTTACAACTCAACTACGCCTCTGAGCTCTGGTTCCCTATCTATCTGTCACCTTAGCTTTATCACCTCTTGGGTGTCTAACAGTCTTCTCAATATTAACAAAGTTAAGTCAAATTCTTGGCCTCTCTCTCCAAGCCAGTTCTGCCAGCCTTTTCTATCGCCACAAATGACATTCATGTTTCGATGTTGCTACAATCCCAGTAGTCACCTCTGATTCCACCCTCTTCTTCATCCCCCACAACTAAACCATCACCTGTCCTGTCATTTCCCTCCAACACACACCAGAAATCAATCCACTTCTCTCCACTCTACTGTACCAATAAGTGACATCTCTCCTTAGATTACAAGAGCCCTCTAACATGTCCCATCCTTGACCTTTGGAAATCATTTTTTGAGTACCAACTAACTTTTAGAAACTCACTCCACATGACCACAGTGTAAAACTTTCCTGTGGGTTCTCATTGCTGTTAGAATGCAATCTGAAGTCCTTATCACACAGGGTCTCTTAGCTATGGCATGACCTCCCTCCCCCTGCATCTTGTTCAAACAACTCTGTCTCTCTTACACTGGCCTTCAGGCATTTTGGGAAGGGGATAGGCTGTTAGCTGCCTGTGCCCTCTTATATCTTCTGACTGACTTATGTCAGATCTTATCAGAGAGCCTCTCCCTGGTTCTTGCTGACCAATGTGATCTTCCTTATTATTTTCTATTTACCACCTTGTTTTCTGTCTTCATGGCACAAGCTGTAACTACCTGGTTTCTTAGTTACTTGTTATTTATCTTCTATATTAGAACACATACCACGATAAGAAGAATATTAACTATTGCTCATTGCATTTATCACCAGGTAAAAGTTAGTGTCAATATATGTCTTAAAAGAGAGCAAGGGGGGAGATGAAGGAATAAGAGCTACAGAAATCTCCCAATGAATATCCAAATGGCAGGTAGAATGGACCACTGAAGCGTTCATCTATAATCCCCAGGACCTTGTGACTATATTACCTGAAGCAGCAACATGGATATGTGATTAAAACTAATGACCTAGAGATTATCTTGGATTGTTCACATTAACTCAATCTTATCATGTGGATCCACGAAAGAACAAAAGGAAGATGGAAGACTTGGTCAGAGAGACATGATGTAAGAAGGACTCAACCTACCACTGCTGAGTTTGAAATGAAGGAAGGGGCTATGAGCCAAGGAATGCAGTAGCCTCCAAAAGCTAGGGGTGGACTTCAGTTTACAGCCCACATGAAATACAATTTCTGTAAGTCTTGGTTTAAATGGAGAAACACAGATTTAACTCAAACTTCGCTGTTCCCCCTACTCTCCCTATCTAACCCAAGCATCCAAGGTCAAGGCATATAAAGGCCTCTGGAAATGAATTCTACCACTATCTGCTGACACTTCATTGTGTAACCACCCTGAGGAAACAGTGTCTCTGAACCTCCTATGTCTATCAGGCTCTGTGTCTCATATTCATGTGGGTCTCCTTGCATTTCTAGGATTCTTAGACTGATGGCATCTTTTTAAGTCAGATGATTAAATCAAGCCACTTTGGTAATTAAGCCACTGCTATGTTTCAGGAAATAGGAGTACAAGACAGATAGGATTGTAGCTCATGTGGAAACAACATTCTGGAGTGCAGAAACAGACAACAAAGGAGATGGTAACACATCCTTTCAGATAGTCACTACAGAACAGAAAAGAGGCAACAGAGCTTGGAGAAGAGAGGGACAGGGGATGCTTCCTGGAGGAGCTGGAGCTGAGCCCGATGGGGGCTCAAGCTGAGCCTTCCTGAGAGGGAGCATTGAGTGCAAAGCTGCAGGCCTCTGTCCACAGAGACAAGACCAGGGCAGCTTCACAGCTGTGGAGAACTGGAGAAGGCAGTAGACAAATCCCTTCCAAAATTAGGTCCATAGCAGAAGTGGCTCCTGCCTTCTCCCTCAGGCCAGCCAGAAACCACCACAGAGATCCAGGGACAGTGCCGCTGATATGCTCCTCAGCAGGGCCTCTCTGGGAGCCTTACTTACATGTTCAAGTCAGACCCAAACCTCCTCCCAGTATCCTGGTAGCATCCTGGCATTGTCTTTTCTTAGCACCTGCCTGTCTTGGCCATTGCTCTGCAAGCTCTTGAGGAGCAGGGGCCACATTCTGAGATGAGTAGCATGAAAACATTTAAGCAGGGTTGCTTATGCTTTCTATTTCATTGCTAGTTTACTTCCATATGGTTTCATTCAACTATATTCCATCTTCTGCTACATTGTGGCTGGCATCATTGGTACGTTTTTAATACTGTAGTGAAGAGATTTAAAGATGCTCTCCTGGGCTGGGCACTGGTGGCTCACCCCTGTAATCCTAGCTATTCAGGAGGCTGAGATCTAATAATGGTTCAAAGCCAGCCCAGGCAGGAAAGTTTGTCAGACTCTTATCTCACTCAGCTCTTCAGCTCAAGACTAGTGCTCTACCACTTGAGCCACAGCGCCACTTTCTGGTTTTCTGGTGGTTTATTGGAGATAAGAGTCTCATGGACTTTCCTGCCCCGGCTGGCTTTGAACTGCGATCCTCAGATCTCAGCCTCCTCAGTAGCTAAATTACAGGTGTGAACCACCGACGCCCAGCTTTCTTATTTCACTCCTATCTGTTAACCACCAGAAAACCAGAAGTGGTGCTGTGGGTCAAAGTCGTAGAGTGCTCGCCCTGAGCAAAAGGGCTAAGAGAGAGTGCCGAGGCCCTGAGTTCAAGCTCCATGACGACCACCAAGAACTACAGAAAGACGCTGTCCTGGCGTATTGACTATGTGCCACCAAGACACTTGATTCTGAGCAGGTGTCAGGATGTCATTTTGCTCTTCATGCTATTTTGCAAAAGCACATGAAATTCCTTGGTGAAAGACACTCTCTGGTGCAAGAAGCAAAGGCTTTATCTTTATCTTCAGGGATGGGAAATTGAGACTGAGAGAATACGGTATAGACCTTGTTAGAATAACTCTTATCTTTATCCTTTAGTCATATTTTGGCAGTTTATTGTTTGTTTTGCAAGTTAGTACGTAAGTAACTAAGGGCTTCTTTGGGGCTTTATTTCTTTCCTTCCCCTTTCTAGTACTGGGATTTAAGCTTAGAGCCTCATGCTTGCAGGCCAGGAGCTTTACTACTTGAGTCATGTCCTCCATCTCACGTTGCCTTTTGATATTTTTGAACAGGATCTCGTTTTTGCCTGATCTTCCTAGTTACACTTTGTGAGTATTTAGGATGACAGATGAGTGCCACCACACTCTGCACCCAGATGTTTTTGTAGGTTGAGATGAAATCTTGCTAACTTTTTGCCCAAGATGGCCTCAGTGATCTCCTGATCTCTGCCTCCTACATTGCTAGGATCATAGGCATGGGTTACCATACCTAGCTTTTTTGTTGTTGTTGTTTGTTTGTTTATCAGTTGTGGGGCTTGAACTCAGAGACTGGAGCTTTTTTTGCTCAAGGTTAGCACTCTACCATTTTGAGCCACAGCTCCATTCCAGTTTTTTGTTTGTTTGTTTTTTGAGTGGTTAATTGGAGATAAGAGTCTCACAGGGACTTTTAGGTTTGTCTTAAACTCAGGATTCTTCTGTCTTGGCCTCCTGTGTGCGAGATTACAGATGTGTTGCACCATGCCTAGCTCCAATAGCACTCTCATAGGGATTTTCAACATGCATTGGGATTATTCTTCAAATAATGAAATACTTAGATGATCATGCCGAGGATTACTATCTCATATCATACATCTGAAATATGTGTATGTATAGACATATCTTTATATATTAAATAGGTTAAAATGCATAATCTATAGCTCATGTAACATTACATATATATATATATAGTACTTAACCTAAACATCACATGCCAAGATAAAAATAGGTATTTTTATTTCATGTCACACGTTGATCCAAACATAAACATTTATTTTCTCTAAATACCAAGTGAAAACAAGTCCATTTATGAGAAACCCAGAACCCCCAAAGACCTTCAAGTAAATGAGGTATCTTCCAATAAAATGAAACCGCCTAAACATTGTAAACATCCTTCATTTAATCAGTCAAGAGGGTCTGTAGTAAAACTACAACTCTGTCATGAATCAGAATCAAAGAGTATGCTATGTCACTGAGT